TTCACAACTTTGAAAGTTTTCACTGGAACTTTTGACATTAAACCTAAAAGTTGTATTTATTGCAAACATGTAAATGTAAAAAAAAATAGTGCATATGTCCTAAAATGGTTCACCAGAGGCAACATTTATTCTATTTTCAAACCTTCATTGAAAAAATATTGTTGACCCAAATAAATGAAATTCATCTCTATTCTCTCATTGCCCAAATTTCATATCACTCATGTTATTGATTTAGAAATTCATCTAAGGAAAGCATTAGCACATTAACCCCGCAGCCCTCCTACCAATGAGAACATACAGCTACAAATTCCCTCTAATAAAACAACTCCACCTTTTACCCTGCTCAGGCGGCAGTCTGTTGGGAATCCTTGCATTAACCCAGTTTCCTCCCGCCTGCTGAAATCGATAGTTATGTTTTCTTGCTGCCATGCTTCTGGTTAGTATTTGGTTTCTGATATGATTAGGTATGCTGTAATGATTTCAGTATGGATCTTAATGCAAACCAAACCTACACACCAGATTTACATCTCGTTAGTCATACACATCCAGGGACTTATTTTATTGAAAAAATATGCAGGTTGAAATTGCAAAAACTCTGTTTGAGTCTTGCCATGAGATCTGTGGTGAGAAGGAGTCCTTGTCAACATTGAGCTGATGCCACATGTAAACCTTGTCTGATTTGATACATTTGTATACACAAAAATTGTTTGAACAAATTGGGTTTTTTTTCTTACACACTTTGAGAAATATCGAGCATGCAGTTACAGTGCTTATGTAGCGTTGGGGTACACCAGCTGAAGTAAACATTACAGAACTTTGTTGTCAGTTAGGGGTAACTTTGACTACACTGTTAACTACAGTATTTTTAGACAGTAATTTCCATCATCAATTGTGGAAAAAACCTTTTTGACAGACGTATCCAAGCATTTGACTAACATTGCTCTATACATTTCCTCCCTGAACGTGTAATTTAAGCGGCCGTTTCCTGTCCGAAGTGCTCTATTCTTTCCTGTGTATTTAGGCCTGACAGCAGAGGCTGCAATCTAATCCCTCTGGAAAATAAATAGCTTCCTGCCTGTCAAAGTTTGAAGTGACAGCGTCAGTCACAATTGTTACCCACTTAAGTCAGAGAGTTTAGAACGGTGTTGTAACATCTACTTGAAAAGATTTCCTTCAACAATTCTGCTTTCCTGAAACTTGATTTCAAGTTCAAAATCAAACCATTTCATCTGAAAAGTTGGCTAAGGTTAAACGTAATGGACTTCCTACTTCCTTCCTCCAGTAACTCTCATCTTTCATTTGATTTTGACCTGTGAATAACTTCCTATTCCCAGTACTGAGTTCCAATTTGTCATCTCAGTTTTTTACCTAAAGTGTAGTCTTCTTAATCAATCACAAACTTTGCCAACCTTCTGTCTTCCCTCGCCTCTCTTTCCTCTCACTTTCTCTGAGCCTGTGTAATATTTTCAACCAAGGCAGCAACCTGCCTTACGCTAAATATTGACTTTTGTGGATGGCAGAAAGTCCTTAATGTACAGTACTTAAACACACTTCTACATGAGGAAGTAACCCAGTATTCAATTTTTGAAATTGGGGGAATTTGAGGAAGTTTGGAAAGTTTTCAAGATTTTTTTTCAAGAGCTGAACCTGCAAATGCTTCCTTTTCTATTAAAGAAAAAACAAAAACATGATATATTCAATGCACACATAATTCTGTATGAAACACATGATGCGATCAAGCTAAATGAGTGGTTTGTCAGGAACTTTCATTTGGAGATTCAGGCCAAAATAGGGTCACTTCATCACATCACTTCATCACATCTTTTGGTGTTGCGACTTCCATAATTTTTGAACTAAAGATCAGCATGCGGTTTTCTCAGCAGTAATGCTGAGATTGTGCTCTTTTCAAATCTGTAAAAAAAAAATTGACCAGAGTCGACAAATGACTAATTTAGCATGATCGCATCACATACATGTATGCACATTATTTAAAGTGCATCATACCAATAACCATGCCAATTGTACCTCTCCACAATCGCCTGAATTGCCAAGATTTCCTTATGAAGAAACCAAGACAGCTAGTAATTATTCCAGAGATAAACATCAAAGTGTCTTCCGAAGTCTGTCCTCTGAAGAGTCTTGAGGCTGTATGACTCACAGGGTTTCCTCATCATGTCCTCTGATCTAAGCTGGATCTAGGGTTTATGGAGACAGCATTTTGTCTGGGAACAAATTGTTCCCTGTGGGATCATTTGAAATACGTATGATTCATAAATGGTACTCTCCAGTTTCCCTTTGTCCAGATTGTATTATTTTTTTTCCTATTGAAACAAGTTTAATACAGAAAGACAATGAGCAAGACAATCGGCTGCTTTGATGTGCCTGTAAAGTAGGTATTTTCTATGGGTTGGGGGGGGGGGGGCACAGCAGTTGTGATTTTTTCCCCCTGATAGCTCTTGATTAATTTATTTCCACAGCTGATCCAGACCCTGTGGGATATGTGTACCATTATTCAAGTACAGACAAAACTTGTTCATGATGGCAGGCAGTTTATTTCCCAGAGGGATTAGGTGTGTTATAATTTGCATATTGATGAATAAATTAAGGTTTTCTGAGCTCACATTGACTGGTTGAATTGGGTCACAGGCTGTTTGCATTCCTGGATGTATTTTCTATGGTCGAGTCAGCAGTCTTGAAATTAAATTACATTTTTCAGTGTAACCCAACATGTGTTTAGTTTATCGTGAACTGTTTGAAGGGATTTTTATTATAAACTGTGCTTGTTTTCATCATCATGTGACAAGCTATAAATGTCAGCATTTGTTTGTGTGAGATGTCTCGTATTATTGCCATCCCACAAGCAGACGTGCTCAATGAGCTTGTGGTCGCGTGAATTAAACACATTTCACACCATGTCAATGTGCGTCACTTTGTAATTAAAGCCTCGGCGCCATGGAATTATAAATCAAAACAACTTGTGTGTAACGAATGATACATTCTGTAAGGGGGGACATGTACACTGTCAATTGAAGGGAACAACTAGAAGCAATTTCTGGTCGTTGTTTTTGTTTTTTTTCTTTTTCTTTTTTTTCTTCTCAAAAATTGATTATGGATAACGCCAAGGGACGTTCTTTGTAATGTACTGTACTACTAGTCAAAAAGTACAAAGGTATCACTCAATCACTAAGCATTGGTGATTAGTTAGCTTGAAATAGCCAATTCCTCTGCATTTTGAATGAAAATGAGTGAGAGATGAAACAATACCACATTCAATTTGAAAGCCAATAGGTTCACATTCAAATTTCTACAAAGGAAATAGCCATTGATTTGACCTTAACATATCGGCAAGGATTACAAATCTGTAAAACACTTCTGGTTTTCAACAAAATAAAATTTAAAAATCAATACTAAAGTGAGGATTATAAGATGGAATATGAAGGGCAAAAATCTAATTTGATTTTAAGTGAGGATGTTTTGTTCCCCCAATTTCATATGATCAGTATTCTTCTTGTTCCAGTGAATGAAGTTTGTTGTTGAAGGTCACTTGATATATATATATCACGAGTGCTCTCCTATCAAGTAGCATTTGTAAGCTCCAGCATCCATCTCCCATCATACCAGTCAGATTTACTGGCAACCATTAAAGTAATAGTATGCTGACTTGATTTACTGGACTTGGAGAGCTAATTCAAGTGCTGGTCGTTACTGGATAATATGGGAGGACAGGCTGAATAGGGTACAGTATTATATGTCTTCCAACTATTCAATGCACGAGGCTTTTTAAATGTAGAGTGTGCGTAGACAAACAAGCAAGTTAATCTATGCCATCACAGTAGTCAAAATCAGTCAAGTTTTCTAAGGCCTATATCTACAGAACTATATTATTTTATCCTGATCACTCTGCAAAATTCTACTGTACATGTTTGGTTGGCTTGTGTATTATCAGTTCAAACATGACATAAAAATACAATAACAAATTGCTGAAACAGCCAGGTGTTTGTCCACAAACATACATCTAGTTTAATCTGATGGCAATATTCCAGCATACAGAATGGTTATTTCTTTTCTTTTTCAAATATTCTTGAGGAATAAAAATATAAAAGTCAGAGAATCTGATATTTTTTATCTCAGCTGATTTTTTTTTCAAATGCAAAAATTTGCCTGAAGTCACTCTTTAAAGAAAGTACATTTTACACAGTTATTTGTAAACACTGGTAAAGCTGAATGGGCTTCTCATTACAACTGCACTGTGCTGAGGAGTGCATGGCTTACCCTAACCCTAAACATTGGTTTCTGTGCGACAGAAATGATATACTGACATTGAAAACTGCACAAATAATCACTGGTGTTGGAACATGTAAATACTGCCAGATTAAAGATTGGCGCGCATTTTGTTTTTCCCCCGCTTGCAATCGGAGAACGGATAGTATAACTAACAAATCATTCATTGGATGTAGTAACACAGGACTCCAGCAAATCAGAGATAAATACCCTCAGATTACAAATAACATTTTACTCTAAACAGAGGGGTTGCAAGTAATCAGTGCTGGGCCAAAAAGCGAGACTTTTTTAAAGAAATGAAATAAGCTGTAAGGAAAAGTCGGGAGGCAACATTGTGATTAAATTGTAAATCATTGAGCGCAAGTCGCCTGTGTCGGCCCCTGTTGTCCATGCTCTTCAACTTGTTTAAAAAGTACACAGCCGAATGGGATTGACAGAAAGTGATAGTTTAAGCAGACTTGTTGGGTCAGAAAGGTCGCGTAGCGGCTGCCCACGTCATCAACTGGAAAACTCGGGGTGGAAGCCAGAGCGAAGCTGAGAGACTGGGAGATTGGTAACAGTCATTGAATGCAGAGCGAGGGTAAGGGGGAGAGTTAGTCCCGCTGTGACAGAGTCAGGAGGTGTGTTGTCCTTGTAAATCTAGACAGCCCAAAAGCTGCTTGCTTGCCACCGAGAATTCCTCACAAGATTTCACTCTGTGAATCAGCCGGATGTGAAGCAAGTTTCCACTTGAGTGTAAGTAGTAGTTGAGGTGTCATGCTGGTGTGGGGACTGGAAGGGTTTGGGGGGGGGGGGTTGAGTTGGAAGTCAGGGGTCATGTTTATAAAGTGAAGTCCAGAGAAAGAAGTCATGTCTGTGGTACTTGGTAGAGTGTTGATGTTTCTTGTTGATGGTTTATAAGGTCGAGTTGGGGGATTTCCACACTGTGTACTTTACTCTGTGGTGTGCTGGCTGCAGACACTGAGTGGTTATGTTGGTGTTTTGTTGATGTTTTCTTTGTTTCTGTCCGACTTGTTGATGAATTGTTGTGAGTGGTTGATGAGTGTTGATGATTTCAACATACATGTATGTACATGTCCATTCTGTACTTGTTGCATTTTATGCCTCAAGTTGATTAACTTTGGATACCAAAAAACTGTCATACAAAAGTGTAGACAGTTTTGATAGTAGTTTGTTTTGGCCAAGAAAGTGGCTAATTATATTTCACAACATGCTGCATTGACTGTTGCATTGACATGGTTTTGACAAATTTCAGAAGATCTGTTCCTTTCTTGGTTTTCAATAATGGCAACAAATTTAAGTTCACATTTTGCCATGTTACTGTTAGTGGAAATTCTTGAGCTTTCTTAACCGTTAATGCTGGAGGATGCGTAAGTATGATCTTGCAATGTACATTCACAGGGGCAGTTAATGGGTTAAATCATCAGGCTTTCTCTGAGTCTCCAGCGATGGACGTGTAATTGTGTATAATACGTGTGGTGGTTCCCATTCTTTTGATTCAGCACCTGGCTGCTGTACACGGCCTGTCGTCCCAGCCAATGTCCTCCCCGGCAGGCCCTCCGAGTGTTGCAAAATATGTACAAATGACACCCAAAGTCAGCACTTTTGGTATTTGACTTTATTTTTTAAATTTGTACGATATATCTTGTCTGTTTCAAAAATAGTGTTTTTTGGCCAAATATAATCCTGACCATAATGTAAGTTGTGAGTTTTGTCTGTTACAGATGTTTTGAGCATCAATCCATGTCCATGGCTGTGTTCCAAGTCTTGAACTGACCCCTAAGGATCATAACATCCTTGACCAAACCTTGACCAATCCTAACTGGGTCACTAGCCCAACTTGACCAATACCCCTCCTCCACTGGTCATTGTACTGTCCCCAAGGTCTGGCCACAGACTCTCCTCTCTGTCCACCACCCAATAACCTGCCACTTGCATGAAATGAAACAGTAAATCCATCTTGCCACCTCCTTGCCAAAGGCAGCATATAAATCCACTCAGTAATGAATCAGACCAGCCATTGCGTGCGAGGGATGTAAGTAGCTGGTTACTTTAGGTGTAGCCATAGGGAGATTGCACCCTCCTGCTGTGTAGAGCTGTGTAGTGGGGACCGGTGGCCGGCAGACAAGTTTGGAAATGCATTTCTCATGAAATTGTATTCTGCAAAATACATAGAAATCCTCCACCATACATGTACATGTAGTTTCGTTTGTAGCCATACCATGACTTGTGGTATCAAGGCAGAATTGTGACCAAAATTATTTTGTGGGTAATTTATAAAAAAAAATAACAGTAGTGCATTCTCTTCCAAACTATTGCTATACAAATGTACATGTTTTAATTCTTGCTAACTCAGAGTTGTACACGGGATTAAAAAAACATAAAAATCATTGTATTCTAATTTTGTGGGTTTTAAGAAAAAAAAATTACTGTATACATGTATAACCAACACACAGCACTGTCACTTCACTTCACAGATATGTACATGCACTAAACAGCAATCCATATTTGTTTGTCAGATAAAAATGCTCACCATGCACCAAACATCTAAAATGGAGAAAAATTACCCGTATATCCGAGAGGGCATTAAAATTCACTTTTGAAGCTAACTCGTTATTTGATCCCCCCCCCTTCGTTATTGGCATGATGATTAACCCTTTCAAAATTGCAATCATTGATATGTGATTGAGTATTTCCACTTATCTCAATCTGTATGCCACACATTCCAATCATGCTACATGTGCATCAACCCTCCGGTTCACTGCCCTCTCCGGTCATTATTTCTAGGGGTTCATTTCCCAACGGGACACCCGGTCTTCAAACACTCATTCCCTCCATGGACCAACGGCAAGCCAGAAATCAAATTTTCCAGCCTGGGTTATTGGTGTGCTGTTTGATATTGTCTCCCCAGGGCAATATCCATCTCTCAGATTTTTTTTTTACCACAACATGTTATGCATCTACCAAATGGTTTTCAGAAGCATTGCAAGGGTGCCTTGTGGTTCTGTTTATTAATCCATCATTTTACCGAGTGAAGGTGATCATGATTATAGGTGATGTGGAATGCGTTATGGGGCTTAGAACTCAGAAGGTTTTGGCTGGTAACCCATACCCTACTGACAAGAGAACACAGGTGGGACTCAGATGGTCATGTCTTCACTGGTTCCCATCTTGATTGGCTGATTTGTTCCACTGATGACACAAATCTACCACAGATGTCCTCAAGTCAAGCCATACATGGCAATGGGTTTTATTGTTTGGACCAAAAAGAGAACTTGTTACCATAAAAGGCATTTTCAAAAACATTTATAACATTTCCACTTAATGCATTGCAAACAACAGACCCCGAAAGTCTGCTGGATGGATAATTTCAATGAAATTGTCAGTTTCATAAAGAAAGACAACCACAACTATAAGATGTCCATTGAAAAAATTCAAGTGTAATGATTTAGGCAGCACAAGTCTTCAGTGCAGACGCATTTAAAGTATGACTTTCTTTTTGAAATTCATGTTGATAAAATTTGCGTCTTGATATTATTTGACAATAAAACATTTTTCATCATAAATCTTCCTGTCACTTTGGAACCTTTGACTTTTTTCTCTTAAATTGTACTTTTAATGCATACATTGCATCCCAATAAGATTCCATACATATACAATGCCTGAAATGATCAACAACCCATTCACAGAAAAAAAGTCACTGTGGTGTCACCTACTTTGGAATTCCAACTGTTCAGAACTTTCCTTGACATTTCATCAATTTTCCTAACTTTTCAGCCAATCCTGAAATTTGCAACAGTTACAAATAAAGCCTGTTTGAGACAAGGTGAAATGCAGCTGGCTTATTCCATGGATTACACAAACGTTGCAGGGAGTCTTTAGTTCTGACCTGATTGCATGACCTGGGGGTAGTTCAGAAACCAAAAGGCGGCGAGGTTTTTGTCTTGAGGATCAAAGAGTGAGTGACCCGGAGAAAATGCAGCCGGACGGCGGTAAAATCAATTGATTGGAATTGGTCCTGAAAGTTTACATTAAACCTATCAAACTTGGTAGAGACTGAGAGAAAAACAAACTGGTCGGTTGTGGGAAACCTTCATTCGGTGAAAAGTTGAATGTATGCTACAGCTACATGTAGTGGAGAAATACTAAATACAAACTATTATTTTCAAGACATTAATTTTGAAAAGAAAATTGATGTTTAATAAAATAATTGATCAATTTAAGAGAGCCCTGAACATCATTTCATTTTAATCATAGATTTTCATGCTAATATTCAAGGTTTTCATACCAACTCCGGTGAATTCAGATTAGGAGAACCACTTGCTTTATCTTATTAATATTATTTTGCATACATCTTTGCAAATGAATGTATATAAATTGTAACAATGTGCACATTCAAGTCACATTGTCACACTCCTACTGGTTCACAGTTTACAACATGTATGTATTCTGTGGTTTCAACCAATGGATTCAGTGTTTTTCTCTTACCAGTTCTGACCTGAAATCAACATCAACCAGTTACATTCTGTACAAGTGGGTCAGTCCATACACTAGGGGTCCACAAGTGTGACATTTTATGTGTCCCTGTTAGTCACTGACCTGCTGTTTTTTGCTTGTTTGGCAGGTAAATCACTCTTGAAGACAGAAGGCATTAAAGAAAATGTCCTGAATTTACAAAACCTTATATCAGATGTAAAATATGGACACAAACAAAATTGGACTGCAGATTTTATGGACTGAGTCACCTTCACCAATGGCCATGACTTTCCACACATCCACCTTCATCATACTAACCACTCTTTCTGATATAATCATTGATTGTTTTTTACGACCACCACACCTGTTTCCCATTCAGACACCAGGAACAGGTTCAAGAAATTGAGCAGATTGATATTGATCATCTCAGTAATGCATGAGGCCAATGCAAGGCTTTGTGTCTTTGTGGGTTGAGTGGTGGCTCCAAGTTCAGGGAATTCAGGGGTATTTCTTACAGTGAGGTGAGGGCCATATAATTTAATTTGGTGTTTGATTACAGAGATAGGGGTTGGGTATTGCTTGTAGCAGTCTGCATGTGGAACTTATGAATCATTTGTTGAGGAAGCTTTCAGAGAATGAAACGTAGCACATTATTAGTTAACCCTGTTCTTTTCAGAACCTCACCACTCACAAAAGCAATTTGTCACAACAGTGCACCTACTCTTATTGCGCTCTTTGTCATGCAAACCTTGAAATCTTATTTAGCGCTTTATTAGTTCTTGCAGTGCAAATTTGTTCAGGGTTCTGCTAAACTTAAGAAAGTTGTTGTCGAAAATTTGAACTATGGCCATTTAACAGTGCCCTTGATAACAAGTTAACATCTGATTTTTACAGGTTCAGATATACACTTTTGTAAAATGCATCACTGCAGAAAACATCGGTGAAATTTGAAACATTAAATTGTACATTACTTGTGTCTATTTAAAACTTCCACATTGAAGACTTCAATACATGTAAACCATGCGTGTTTGTCTTCCAATGGATAAAAGATACAACTTGACAAAAGTACAAGTGACCTGACGTTTAAATAAACAGCCAGCCATTTCCCCAGACAGCCCTTACCCTGAACCTTCTCAATATAAACAGTTGATGTCACTCCAAGCCCTGTCTTGAAGTCTTAGACTTTGAAAGGTTTGACCTTCAAGACAAGAAATCTTGGATGAGTGAGGCATTATCAGTTTGATTTAAGGACCATTTCCTGATTGGAACTCCCATCTGATGTGTGGAGCTAGACCAGTCTCCTGCACCTGTAACTATTGAAACTGTCAAAACAAATGCAATTGAAAAGTTGGGTTCACTAGGAAAAAAGTTCTTTAAATTAAAGGTTGATGCTACTTTTGAGTCAAACTTAAAAAACATTGTGGCTGCATCAACTCCATTGTCAAACTGATTTTCTTTGTGACATACATGTAGCTGCACATGCATATCAACTTTTTAAAACTTGATTATTAACTTGATTTTTAAATTCAGTTTTAATATTTAAATTTGAATTACTATAATATGTGCGAAAAGCTTTAATGAATGCTTGAGCGTAGGCACACATGCACATGTACACCTCAAAGTGTACATATACCCTTTACATGTAGTTTGTGCAAATTAGTCCATTGTTATCACGTTCATCTAATTAGGGAAACAGCACTACATTCACATGATGACATTCACAACTGGTGGGCCCCTTTAACAAGCCGACCTTGCCAGGTCAACTTTTTAGGGTCGGGTCAGGTCACCCAGTAAAGAGCATGATATTGCATTGCAGTAGCTCTACAGTGCTGATAGATTGGCACTACATGATCATAAGTAGGCATGTGATGTAAAGTGTGGAATTCCTTCCTTGAAGATGGAAGGAAAGGGGGGGGGGAGTTGAGGTTTGGAGGTTGAGTGTTTATTTTGGGTTGACATTAAGAGGTGATGCTTTGTGTTGTCAAACTGTTCCAATATGAGAGTTGTGTGTTAACAGATACATGAGTGTAGGATGTGTGTGTATCATGATTGGTTTACGTTTGGTTAGTGAGTTGGGCTGGGCTGGTAGTGTTTATAGTAACCATACACCTGCACATAGTGGGTTTACTTACAGGTTCAATTGGTGAAGGAAGTTTGTAATTTGTCAAATATGAATGTTAAAAGGTTGCACACAGTGATAAGAAATCAACTATCTGTGTATATAAGTAGAAAAGGGTTCAAATTGTAAGGGAATTAAGTCCATGTACTGGTATGCAATACATACGTGTAATTTTTGAAAGGATATATTAAAGTGAAATACTAAATAAGAAACGAAAATAACAAATCAACCTGGAAAACATTGAAAGAAAGGAGAACAATCCTAAGAGATATGACTGTCAAACAACGAAATATACATGTAATCTTGTTGCTGATATCAAACTGGAACGGACCACCATTTGGAGGTCCTGGGTTTGAGTCCTGTCTAACTCTATAAATTTACCAGTAAGTTAGCTTGTCAAGGTTTTCTCAATGATTGTGTGAATGCGGTGATGAAACAGTGCTGATAATTCTTTGGAAAAGAATGAAAATGTCTAAAAGAGACCTAATTTCTTATAATTTTGCACAAATTTGTATTAACCCAGAGACAGATTTTACTTATTCACCTTGTTTCCTCCTCTCCAGGTGTTAATTAATGAGTTGATCTCATCAATGAGTTCATCTATCAACTGACACTGAAGCCTCTTCAAGATGGAAGTTCCCATCTATTTACTAGTGGACCTACTTCTCTGTAGTCTGGTCTTGCTTCTATGTCAGTCATTAGCAGGTATGTTCCATGCTCATGTTATCTAACAAGACAAGGCGTGTCTAGTCAAACTGGGCCCCAGAATTAGCAGTTTTTGGACATTATTTATACACAGTGACTCGTCAGTCATTCAGTCAGTTTGTCAGTCAATCCGTGACTCAGGCATAGGATTATAGGCTCCTTCGGGTCCAGTGAAAATTTTACAAAACATGTAGCCTACCGGTAGATAATGTACAAGTATGGTTTATAGTAGGTTTAAAAATGTCGACATTACAAACATGGACAAATATGATAAAGACACCTTGATGGCAGTTTTGTCTGTTTGCAGTTGATAGCCGTGGTATTACCAATTGTACATGTAGAATGACATGGTCCAGTGGTTACGGTGTTTGACGCCTGTACGATGGTACATGGGTTCAAGCCCTGCCAGGGACATGGTGTTTGTGCCCTTGGGCAAGACACTTCGCGATTGCCTGAGCTCTCCACCCAGGAGTATGATTGGTTCCTGTGAGCGTAGGGGACCAAATGTGCACTGATATCGGCTGCCGCGGGGTCTCGTAGCCTGATGAATGTGGGAATTATTGTAAAGTGGTTTGAGATTGTTGATACAATAGAAAGCGCTATAAGCACTATAATTTATTTTGATGACATCATTAAACAGACAAGTAGCTTTTCCTTGAATCAGCTGATTTTCTCTTTTTGAGTTCTTGTATGCCATTGAAAATTGAAGAAACCTTGTATGCCATTGAAAATTGAAAAAAAACAAAGCTTAGAAAGTTCCTTTCTTGTAACATCATCAATTTTAAGAAGGAAATAGTACAGAGAGCAAGCACAAGTTAGTACATGATGCACCTTACAGTGTGCCATTTTGAAGTCATCAAATCTGATACATCTGCTGTCTGTTCAACATGATACCCCTCATACAGCTAACAGATCAGTAATGTAACAGTCTTGAAGGGTCACATGGCCAGCCCTGCTGCCTCACATACATCTCAAGTCGCCATGTACCCCCATAGCCCATGCAGCATCCCCGCTATGCACCTCTTATAAGCAAATGAAAGCATCCCTCTAATCACAGACCATTTCTTAATCTCAATCTCGGCAGTTTACTGCTCTTTACCCATCAGTGCAGTATCAATATCCCACTAAGACACCGTCAAGAAAAGTCTTGCATCTGCTCATTAAGTCCAAGTAGATGTCTTGTGGAGGATTCTTGCGTGTGTCAGTATGGGTCTAAGGAGGAAAGTTTGTGGGTATAGACTTAATTCTGCAAACAAGATTAGAAGCCATTTTTAGGAGGAACCACATTTGTGTGCATGCCACTTGCATGCCGCACACATTCGTAAAGACAAGGGGCGCATGCATTTTGGTAAGCCCAGAGTGCCTGCGTATTACCTGAGCGCGACTTGTGCAAGCCTGGGTACCACCTCAGGAAATGGTTGTCACTGAATTGGTCTATATCAGGTGCACTGACTGGGTCGAGACTGATGAACTTGAAATTAACTGGACTCTACTGTCATTCCATAGGACTGCAACAGTCAATCCTTTTGCTTGTTGTCGCTGTTTCAATTGTTGGAGTTAATCTTTCAAATCTTCAGAATTATAGTTGAGAAACTACTCAACCTTGCATTCTCTTTTTCTCCTTGTAGATTCATCCCCGTCATTCCTGAGTGAACCACGGTCAAGAATCGTCAAGCACAACATCCGCGTCAAACTCCGCTGTAAAGTAGACCCTAAAGACGCTCCTATCTGGTGGTCATTCAACGGCCAAGACATCACGGACCCAGCTAGTCTGGGGATGCAAGTCACTCCAAAATACCTCAAGATTGATTCTTTTCAGGGTGAAGGGGAGAGGTCCCATAATGGTGGTTATCAGTGCAAAGCAGGAAACAGGACAGGATTGATAGTCAGCAGGGTAGCGCATGTACAGGCTGCTTGTGAGTATTACACATAACAATTTCAATTTCTGCAAAGCTTTGACCCATTTTGTCCATGTAACGTCACCTAAACCACCCTGCCTGTTACTCCCTGCAACAGCCAAAACCGCCCGAGTATTGTATGGTTTCATAAGGGAAGAAATGTTTAGTCAGTGTTACAATGTACTGGTACATAATGTAATGCAAGTGCTAGTGGGTAATTCACATGAGTTTCAGAGTGAAGCAAACAAAATCAACAGTTGCCAACTATTTCTTTGCTTTTGTTTTTATATGAAGCATGAAACAGCATTTAATCCTTTAGTTACTTTATCAGCTGAAATTGCCAAGCCAATTTATGTAGCACTAACAATCCAAAGAAAACTGTGTTATTTATAAGATTAATCTTCTGGCTCCCTTGTATATAAATGCAGTGCCCTATCCAGCTAAACTGTAACAGTCTTTCACGGTTTCCATACTTCAAACACGTTGTTCGATAGGTTTTCAGAAAAGTTACTTTTGGGCCCTCTGAACTTGGACTTATATCAAATTGAATTTCATCTAATTCTCTTATTTCTTCTCATCACTTTTCAGATTTAAGACGATTTTCAACGCATCTACCAGCGACAGCTTATGCCAAGAAGGGCAGCGTAGCAGTTATAGAATGTGAAGCACCAGACAGCATACCACCAGCTGTCATGTCCTATGAGTTCAAAGGTCAAACGATAGCAGGCTCCTCAGGTTAGTACCCAGTGGACTGCATGCATATTGCTATGGTCTAAAAACACTCCATATTGGGTACCAGTCTAGCTTTGTCTTCTATGAGTTCAAAGGTCAAACAATATCAGGCTCCTCAGGTTAGTACCCAGTGGACTGCATGCATATTGCTATGGTCTAAAAACACTCCATATTGGGTACCAGTCTAGCTTTGTCTTCTATGAGTTCAAAGGTCAAACGATATTAGGCTCCTCAGGTTAGTATCCAATGGACTGCATGCAAATTGTTATGGTCTCAAGTTCCATATTGGGTACCAGTCTAGCCTTGTCTTCTATGAGTTCAAAGGTCAAACGATATCAGGCTCCTCAGGTTAGTATCCAATGGACTGCATGCATATTGCTATGGTCTCAAATATTGCTCACCAATCTAGCAAAAGTCTTCCGTTCGATTGGTTTATTTTCAAAATCTGACTCAACTCGATAACATCAACCCCAGCTAACAGTTAAATACATCTAGAAAAGGACAAGGTAACAATTCTGCAAAAGGTTTGGACCAAAAGGAAATAACAAAATAACGATGTGTATTGTTTGAAAGCAAATAGAAAAATATCAATGAAATACAACTTAAGAATTAAACATTACAAAAAAACTGAAATGTGGTGGCAACAAAAGGTTACATTGTCAAGGCTTCAATTCTTAAAAGTGCACACGTACTTTTCATCTTGTGTCAACAGATGTCTTTATTCTATTGGACAAAATATCACCCAATTTCAGGAAATGTTAAAATGGAAATCAGATGTTTTCACCACTAAATCTCTAAGGTGGTCCAAAACTTCTTCCCAACTTTTATTCTGTTAAAGAAAAAAAGAGTTATAGTTCACAAGGTTTAGTCATCAAACTCTCTGACAACTTGAAATGCATCCCATAATGTTCCCCATGTGGCCGCTGCCTATTTTTGTTCCCCTGTGTGCATCCAACCTTAGCAACAACAACTTGACCTTGGGGTCAGTGAATGGCGCCCTCTTGTGAGCAGGACCACACACAGTGTTAGGGTTGTTAGTGAGGCAGTTATGATATGATGCCATCTGATCTCTGTGGTGGCCTAAGGGGGTTAAGTGTCGTTACTACAAACATGTTTCCAATTTTTCAGTTTTCCCTTCTTGTTTTTCTGTATTTTTTTTTCTCGATGTGGCCGGTCTTGTTTGCCATTCAATATAGATTATTTCCACCTTATTGAGTTTTACAACAAGTTAGGAGAATTTGATGGTTGACTGTTAAGTTGGGACTGCCAGCTGTCTAAAATCTCCCCACCAGGGAGATGATGGTTTGTCCTCAATTCCTTAATCAATTAAATCAGAACAGGTGTTTATAATATGACATTTCTGCACCATTAAAATGATCAGTGGTTTGGAAATTCCTACATTGTAAGTACCATATCTGTAGCCAGAAATTTACTTCGAAAAGGAAAGTCACTGTTGGTATGGGCTCTGTGCGCCAACAAAAGAGGGCACGTTGTTACCTCTTTCAAGAGATCCGTGGAAGGGACACACAGCATGCACGTATTCTACTGTACTGGTTTGTGCGCGAAGTACGCACAACTTCCTGAAATGTGCAAAAGCTTCAAGACATTTAGCTTGTACATTCAAGGACTAATTCTTTGCATTGCAGCCATGTTCAGGGATGTGATTTCTCCGGTTTTTTCCGGAAATCCGTTTTTTTGGGCCTCAAAAGTCCACCAACGTGAATCGTGTGAATCCGTTGAGAAAATAGGGGGGTAGAATGTGCTAATTAATTATTCATAATGAGTTTTGCTTGCCGAAATATCCGAAATTTACTTACGGACATAAACTTCGTTGATCGATATGTATGCCGCACGCACATATTGAACACCCAATATGAGAACGAAGTTGAAGACCATGCGTTGCCATTAGTGCGATTATGTGATTTTTCGCTCGGGGCCGAGGTTGTGGTTATGTAGGTCTAGTTCCTGTGTCGGTACTTAAGATGCACGTGTTGCGCTGGTCAGGTGTGCAGACGAGTGCAGCATGGTACACTGGTACCCTTCGCGTGCTAACAGAATCAATGCTATGATGAATGACTGGAACCAGTGACTACTGCAAGTACTCACAGGTTCGTTTTCCGTGCGTATAATCGGCCGAAGTTGGATCGTAAAAATAGTAAAAATACCAAACAACCATCGATGGAAAAAGAGGATTTCTGCAAATTAATTCACAGAACGTGATCTTCATTTTCTGTGTATGTATTTTCCATTGAAATGACGAGATTGCAAAACTCGAACCTGTGGAGAAACATCGTAGCGTGTTTCTGCAGTCCTGCAGAATTTTCGGCCACTTGGGATGGGCCGTACACAGTGCAGCAATGCACACTGATACTGCGCCGGGCCGGCCGTGTGTAAGGCATCGCGCCTTACACACGGCGCCGGACTGAATGTTTGCGGCGCTAGCGGCCGTGATGTACGTTAAGCATAATTGTGGAATGACCCACCTCAAATATATTTTTAATTAGGTGAGGCAAGTTTTAATCACTTTTGATGGCTAGTCTTGATAATTTTTGTGGCGCAAATGAGAATAATCCAGGCACAAAATACATGAAATATAAACGATTCCTTGCTTTACTACAAATATAGAAATGGTGAAATATTTTTTTTTCCAACAATACTACCGACGCTATTTTGAAAGGCATGTTATTGGAAGCAGAAGTGATTTAAGTTTACAATTTTGATTTTTTTTTTACAAATATATTACAAGATCTCCTCTGAAATGCTCTAAAATGCACCAGAAAGCTTCTAAAGTTCAAAATTTTTCGGGGCCCTTAAGCGGGTCCCGAACCCACGCCATGGCTTCGCAGGTTGTTGTATCACAACAAAAATTCCCCCATAGGTTTGAAAAAATTCTGGGGAGAACAGCATGGTTCTCAACTTTGAGTACAGAAAAAACTTTATTAGAACAAGAGTACATTTTAACAATTAAAGGAAAATTCTTCATAAAATTAAAACAAATTCTGCTTCAGAATTTCAGAGGAAAGTGCCCAGTAATTAACTCAGATTGCACCACAGAGCATCTAAAATCAAAAAATTTTCGGGGCCTTTAAGCGGGCCCCGGACCCCACGCCGTAATGGCTTCCCGCTTCGCGCTCGCCGGGGTTTGCACTTCATGCATAAAATTTTCAGGTTTTTTGGTTACATACCAATCACATCCCTGCATGTTTGAGGTCCATTCTTTTGTTGTACAGAGATACGCTTGAGTCGACATCTTGTGCATTCATTGTAACTAATTAAAATGAACACCTCCAAGATGGACGCTTAATGCAAAGTGTCAGTAAGCTAGTTTCCCACACAACTGTATATTACCTTGAACATGAGTGATTATGTTTGGACCTTCTAGCTCCATTGAAAAAACGCCTGCTTTTCAACTTAGCACTACTACATCTCTGAGACTTATCCTCTTTGTGTCTGTCTCATTCTACAGATCATTACAGGATAATGCCGTCTGGTCATCTTCACATCATTAATGTATCAGAATCAGATGAGGGTCACTATACGTGCTTAGCTACCAACCCAACTCTGTCTAAGACACACACAGCAGGGAACGGAACAACGCTAGTACTACAGGAGGGTGAGTCTGAAATCAATCAAATATTGCAAGAATTTCGGTGGTCAAGTTTTCTTGAATCTCCTTTAACTTTCCTTTAAGTTAGCTCTTGGTCTGTAGCTATTGTTGTCAAGACTGAGGGACACAGTTTCACAGAATTACAACAATTTAAGATTTATTCCTAAAAAAATAGCTTAATAACAAATGCAAATGCGAAGAGCCAAACAAAACTTGTCACCAAAGTTGCTGTGATTCATGGTGTGAATGTTGATCATTATTGAACTCAAAACGCATCCTCTGTATGTTTGCTTTGCAGTGTCTGAAGTCCGAATCCCACCCAGCATACAGACATCAAGGGGCGTGTCAGTCAACATTCATGAGAGGGCGGTTCTAGAGTGTGTAGCAGGTGGTGTACCGTACCCAGATGTCCAATGGGATATGGTGGAAGGCTCGATACCAGATAATGGCGTCCAGTACCCAGGCAGTCTAGAAATCACATCTGTTTCTAGGAGTGATGCTGGGGTGTATACATGCACAGCGCTGAATGAGCAAGGTCAATCACAGAGGTCAGAGGTCACACTAGAGGTCATAGGTGAGTCAGGGCAGAGTCAGAGTCAGAGTCAGAGGCATCGTGTATTCTGGCAAGTGACTTTTAAGGGAACAATTCAGAAATACGTACAGGCTACAATATTCAAGAAGAAGAATATTTCAAGCAAACCTACCGGTACATTGTACAGGTATATTGGTGTGCACAGTGAGACATACAAGCTTGCATACATTAAACTGTACCTGAATTTGTGTGAATAATTTCCTCTTTCTAGAACCCGTGTCTATTGCCAAGGCGCCTAAGAACACTCATGTTGACCTGGGAGGCACTGGTCACTTCAAATGCACAGTCAGAGGAGTCAATCAGAACCAGATTGTCTGGTTATTTAATGGACAAAGAATCTCAGAAATGAGCACGAGACATGAAATACTAGGTAAGTACGGGAGATACCGGTATCTTGGTAGGATATAGAGGGCCAACTCATTGGATATGTAGTGCTGAATCTAATTCCGTGAACTTTTCTGGAATATTATCCTGGGGTTTCCCAATCGTCCAAATTTCAGATATTTTTTTTTCAAATTGACAATCGTATCCTTAAAAACTGCAGATTTCTTCATTGTCTTCTCTCCGTATAGGTATATTCAGGCTTGCCAGTTGTGGTGTCTGTTATGAACTTTTCAGGAATCCTTAATTTTATTACCTAAAAAAAATTCATCTTATAAAGAATGTTACACAATTAAAAAGAAATTTATTAAGGGCCAAGAAATAGTCTGCGGGACTGAATTTTTTTAAATTTTTGATTTATCATTGCATATGGTCTAGCCTTTAATATACAGGAACACAGACAGGACCTGAACCCAGATTCACTCATTACCTTCTCAGCAATCGTTTTCTTGTCTTCACACATTGCTTGTTCAGTACCTGTAATTTCTTGTATTTCATTTCAGAGGGTCAGCTTATTATCAATGAAGTCAGCCGATCAGATCTGGGTCCATACCAGTGCTTTGTGCAGACTGACCATGGCAGTGCACAGGCCACAGCTAAACTCATGCTCAGAGGTAAGGAATGCTATCATTCAAGGGAGGCATGCATCTTTACCAGTCATCATTTAGTTTAAAGCAAAAGTAAAAAGACATTTTGAGATGTGATTATAATCCCAAAAAAGAAACATTTGCCAAAATAAACCCTGCAAGAGCCCTGGTTTGTAAAATGTATTAATTCTTTTTAAATGATTGGTTAATATTGAGAGGAAACTAGTGAAGTGTCTTTTTCCAACCTTATACAGCTCTCTCTACTTTTTGAAAGCCTGGTTTAAGAGGTGATTGTCTCCATGTGGCCAACCTCTTTCTGATATTTTAACATGTGCGGTTAAGATAGTTGAATTATGGCTACAGATGACACGAAACTTTCCTAAATAATATTATGTTTGACTCATAATTGTGCAGAGGGATTTCCTGCCATCGTGGACCCACCAGTCAACACCACCGCTATCGAAGGAGAGAACGTCTTTCTGTCTTGTGGCATCACTGGGGATCCTATGCCATTTGTTAGTTGGCATGACCCACTGGGAACCGTTGTACGGAATACCAGGAGCATGTTCATCTCGGAAGAAACTGGTCAGTCTCGATTGTTTTCTTTGAAACTTGAAGTTCAGAGTCCCTGAAGTGTTGATTGGCACACACCCTACATGTACAAACACTAACAGAAGGTCTCAGAATAGACCTTTATTATGCTGCCACCATTTCAGTCAGGAAAAACAGAACTGAATGATGTTTTTTATTTTGTGCAAAGAGGAACCAGACTATTTTCCATCCAGCCTCCTTTTGGTAACGTTGATTTGAATGGGGAAAAATCAACATGATAATGGTCTATAGACTGATTTTATAATGCACTCCTGCGATCATTTACATACCCTACATATTCTTGTAGAGGTACTAGAGGTGTACTTATAGAATCTTTGTTGACCACCCCTTCTTTGACCAAGTGGTTCTTCCATGAACATCATCTGTTAAGAGATTGTTGTGGATGCTTGCAGATTAGGTCCTGTACATGTAAACCACGTTACCTCTACTACAATGCTGAGGCATGGTAGAGGTGGTCTGAGGTACATGTCGCCTTATTGCAGCATTTAACCTTGAATGGCTCAATCTAGCCTTGTCGTGGGCGACATTCATGAACTAGGAGGGATGTGTGTCCATATTGGACGTGATACATAGAAGATCATCAGTGGTTCATCATGTGTGACCACTTTAGTTCCGCTGGCCCTCAAATCTCACGTTTTTGAGCAATTTATAGTCTAGTGAGTGGAGTCTTCTGTACCATCAGTGTTGACCGAGACTGTTGAGCATGTGTTCTTATTCATTTTACAGGTGGATTAACCATTTCCCGGGTTGGTCCAGACGATGTGGGTTGGTATCGATGCACAGCAGCCAACAAACATGGACGGGTAGCTGCAGAAGCTTATCTGGCAGTCATTGGTAAGAACAAACCTTCTGTTCTTGGGGGTCAGTTTTAACGTCAAGAAAAAAAGAACTCACTCAAATCTAAACTCTCCCCCAGTCCATTTTTCCTAAGAAGCTCCTGAATCCTTCAAAATCCATTGCTGTGCACGGACCTAATAACACATTCCTTGCTATTTCAATTCAAAGAGATATCAAGCATGAGGGCTGATGGCAAGTCTATGGACTACAGTGATTTTCTTCGCTTTTGTCAGCCCTTGCCCATGCAGGCTTAGGTTTAATTTGTCCTGTTATTTGTCTTTCTTGTAGTATTGGTGTTCCTTCCAAGTTGTTTTTGTTTTGGGGTTTTTTTTTGCATTTTTAGTGTACTGTATTTTTCTCTGTTGTTATATATTCTGTGTTGTTTTTATCAATTGGCAAAATAAAATGAATAAAAACGCCATCTAAGTAATAAAACCCAGGCTTGTACCTTTCTCAATCCTGGAAAACCCTCCAACCTCTGGATGGATGTTGCAGAAACTGGGAGGGTTAGAGTTAACAGAGCAAGTTAATTCACAGTGTTAAATGGATATGTACATCAATGCTTTTATGTTACGTCATGAACAACACATTTGAGTTGATATCAACCAAACACAGTTTTGATCTTTTGGTTGTTTCATTTGTGTTGCAGAGAAAATCAGCACGACACCGGTACCAGAGAGCAGCTCACGACACGTCCTGAACCCGCCTGTAAATGATGACATCACCATAACAACACAAACAACAGATGAACCAAATAAACCCGGAACAGGTAAGGTCAAATATTTGTCAGTTCATTGGCCTTTGCAACTAGAAATGGAGAAATGAAAGTGGACAATTGCTTTGTTACATAGTCTCTGTGCCTGCATGATTATTAAGCTTGTGACAAAAGTATTATGAAATTGTTCTAATATAAATCAGGCCGGTTTCAGGTTTCTTTATCTTTAGCAGGTGCTGAGTCAATCAACTGTTTTATAAAGTCCAGCTTCTGTACTTTTGGAATAAAAAAAAACTAGATCTCACCACATATCTCAAGTTTGTTCTGTAGTAACTAATGTTAGACTCCATTTTTTTCTCAATACCTCCAATAGTTCATCCAAAACCAAACCATGAATTTCAGAAACCGTAACATCATTTCTGCTGTCTCCCTTCTAGTTCCTGATGCTCCTACTAAGCCTATCATCATCAAGACATCAGACACGTCCGTTGAGACAAGATGGGATTACTTCAGCAGGATACCAGTGACTAGTTTCACCATTCAGTACAGGGATGTAGCGTCAATCGATGGTTGGGTTACCGCTTCTAATGTCATCCCTCTCAACAGGAGAGTTTATGAAGTGCAGGGATTGAAAGAAGGTCAGTTTATTGACTTTAGAGTTACATGATCCCACTCCTGTATTTACATTATCAGAAATAACAGGAGAAGCTAGTTATTACTGATAATGACTCTTAATTGGATGGTTAAGGGTTCGAATCCATCCACTTATTTAAAATACTGTACCTGTACACATTACCCCAATCCTCTCAAGCTTTGAGTATAAATGGGTACCGGCATTAGTGTGGGAAATATAACCTGTGATGAAATGGCATGCCATCCAGCAGGCAATGGTTACACGGTCGGCCATTTAAAACCAAGAATACCAGAAATAAAACCAAGATTGATGAACCACGCAGAGCCTAAAGTAACTTTTTGTAATACTTCAATTGTCTCTTCATTGTCTCTGAAAGTGAAATTGTTCCGAGAAGAACCAGCAGTCATAACTCTCAACCCATAAGCACTTGTACTACATTGTATTACATAAATCCATGACACCATACACAGCTGGGTTGGTACCAGGAGTAACAGGCAGGGCAGCTGTCATAACTCTCAACCCATAAGCACTTGTACTACATTGTATTACATAAATCCATGACACTATACACAGCTGGGTTGGTACCAGGAGTAACAGGCAGGGCAGCTGTCATAACTCTCAACCCATAAGCACTTGTACTACATTGTATTACATAAATCCATGACACTATACACAGCTGGGTTGGTACCAGGAGTAACAGGCAGGGCAGCTGTAGAGGATTGTAGTTTGTGCAGGGACTAATGGATTCATTGTATAGTCATTCCTTTGTACTTCTTCCCATCAGGTGCAACATATCGTTTCCGTGTCATCGCATCTAACACCCACGGTGACAGTGAACCTAGTGAGATGTCTAATCGTTTCTTGATGCACGTCCCTGGCAGTATGGATCCACCGGTCCGGCCACCATTAGACCCACCAAGAATCATCAACTGTGTCGCGATGAGTTCTACCTCAATCCTGGTAGAATGGGAGGTTAGTCTTCAGTTCAACATCACCCTAGACTCGACTTGTGTGTTAGGGGGCTTAGAACTTCTATGAGAGTAGCTGACCAAGCCTGCACTGACAACGTCTTACATGGCTTTCAAAGTTCGAAATCCACATTTAGAAAACAACTCAAAAATCTCCAAACTTGACAAAGAACTAGAGATAACTTGAGTCCACTTTACATGTTACCATTAAAAAGGTTAAACACAATTTACAACAACTTGATACAATTAACATTTTAAATTTTGGTGATAAAGTTTTTCATAATGATATTTTTATTATTTTAACCAGAATTCTATGACATTCTTTTGACTGGTTTGGTTTCCACATCCACTGGTACAATGTAAATAGCGATGATGTTAGCAATTTCACTCATATTTTGTTTTTATTGCATCTTTACAGTTTGAGCCAGAATTCCCTGATATCCCAGTCACCGGATTCTACGTTCACTATCGCAACACGGACAGTGATGATGACAACGATTACACACGCACACCGGTGGTCGGTGATGACGTCCGACGCTATCAGATCCGTAATCTAGAGGCGGAGTTGACCTATGACATCAAGATGCAAACATTTAATGATGGAGGGGAGAGTCCATTCAGTAATGTGATCATCCGTGAAACTATGGGTACGTAATAAGGTCCAGAATGGGTCAGCAATTTAGTCAGTATAATGAGTATTTATGAGAAAATTGTTACTGAAGGGTTAAGTAAAATTATAATATGGTGAATTACAAATGTATGTTTGTAATTTGTCAAAGTAGTTATCTCGCCAAGTCTATCTCAAGTTTACACTAATCCACCTCAAGTCATTCATGTGTATATTGTAGGTCATCCAGTTCCAAGTCAAGCTACAGGCTGTTCAAATGAACTGTGATAACGGCATTGTGTGTTATTACTACTGTTACTTGTACCGGACTTATAAATTGACTTACCGGTATGAGTGATTTAGATCTGGCGAGACTTATGATAGATTTCAACACTATTGCAAAGCAATAATGGCTGAACTCTCATCCATACATCCAAAGTTAAATCAATCGTTGGATTTTGAAATATTTGATGAGCTTAAGGTAATGGACACCATTTGCAAACAATCAAACAGAAACTGTCAAAATAGTGTGCAATATCCAACTTGATTGTAAGTGAATATTAGGAACAAGCATCCTGTGAAACCATTGCGCCTTGTATGCTGTCATGTGCAAGAAAAGAGGAATAACCATCATTTCCTTGCGATGGTTAAGATCAAACCATCGCACTTTCAACAGAAACCTATGCGCTGCGTCGGGAAATATTGATGTATTTACACAGTTTTCTAAAAAAGTATGACATCTACTGAGGTGAAAGTTCAACAGGTGTCTTTTAATGAGCTGCTTCAGATTGACTGTATTGTTCCTTGAATGGTTTCAACTACCTTTAATTTGTTACTAAATTCAAACGTATAAATGTTCCTTGTCTTTCTGTTCCTCCAGCTCAACAGACCCCACCACCACCCATCATCATCCCAGACCCTTACCCATCTAACCCTTCGTCTGGTGGTCGTAATCCCAACATCCCATCCATACCTGATGATACAGAGCCTGATGCATCCACCAATCAGGGTGAAGATATCTTATACATCACCCTAGGCGTGGTGCTAGGAGCGATGTTATTGGTTCTCATCATGTTTGGGGTCATGTGTATATGGAGGGCCAAACAAGTCAACAATGACAGACTTGCCCGTAAGTACATTTTGGTTTTGTTTTGTTTTCATCTTGGATTTGAAATTTCTCCACCATAGGATTACATGTTGTAACAATACTGCTGTTAAGGTGTGTTGTTTTTTTTTGCAGAGGGATACATGTATCTGTAAGTAGAACTCTCTACATTCAGTGTTACTGAAATAAATAAACAAAATGAACCTTCAAAATGACTAGATGCAAAAGGTCTATGCTGCAGTGAGAGCAGAGATGGTAATTGTGGTTGATTGTAGCTGCTTTGTGCCAAAATGGCAGTATGGAGCTGTATACTCCCCAGGGAGCTGAGTTTGTCTTTTAGAATGTTTCATTGGCCCAATGAGCAGAGTAATAATGATGTAGCGCCTTGAGCACCAATACTGGTGGATACGTGCACTTTATAAAAAATACACATAACTACATGCATACAGTTTTTCCTATTGATGCTGCATCTTTCCATTCTCATATCACAATCATCAATGAATCCGCGAATTGTTACACTCCTACCATGCTTGAGGACTTCCCCCCCTTTCGCCGCTGTGACCCGGGTTCGAATCCCGCCTGGGCCAATATGTGGATTGGGTTTTCAGTCCCTGCCTGATTCCGTGGGTTTTCCCTAGAATATTCTTCTCGGCTTTTCCTCCCACCTCTAAAACTGTAATTTCTTCTCATTGTCTTCTCTCCACAGGTTTCTTCAGGCTTGCGAGCTACAGTGCCTAGGGCGCTTTTGAGGAATCCTTGGTTTCATTACCAAAAATGATTAATAATAATAATAATAATAACCTTTTTGTCTTTGCTTGTAGGTGATTGGCATTATGGTTATTACTGCGATGGAGCCTACCGTCACAATAACGGGAACGCCTACAAGTTTGGTCATTACATGAACGGTAACACACCCCAGGGACATGGAGGAGGTAACCCACCCTATGGTGAAACAGCCACGCCTGCTGACCCTCGACCTCTCTACACAATGCCTCAGGTAGGTCTGGCTACATCAGTTGGTTTCAAACCTTGATTTGCAGCTCTGCTCTCTGATAATTGGAGATATTTCACTCTTAACCCAAGAGGAAAGTTGAGAGAATCTGCATCTTAAGAGCGTAACAAGGAATGAAATTGTGCCAGTTTGGATTTTGCCTTACGCCCCTACGTAATTTTGTTAACGCTGTTTACTCAGTGTTGTCCAAGGGCTGGTGAGAAAATTTCACAGGCTACTCGGGGGGCCTGGAACCCACGACCTTCACCTACGACCTTCACCTTATTAGTGCAAGTGTCTCAGAACTTGACCTCTGAGCTCACTTGGGTGGGGCTTGATTGACATCCTGCTTACTAGTGCAGATGTCTAACCACTTCACCACTGAGCTTGCCAGGGCCAGCTGGCTGGTTCTACTCTGATATAGCAGCGCGTACCATAACCTATCACTATTTATATGCTTTATACTTGGTTGTAAATCTATTGTGCAAAGTATAGAAAATACTATGTTAGCATAAATGAAAGGTTACCAACCAAGTGTCATTCAGTTTGTATATTGCATAATAGTTCGCAGCTGATTCTTTGCTTATCACATTTTTCTCTTAATTAACAGCTCCACGTTATTTGGCCCAGGTCACTAAGTTTGTAATCTCTCCTTGTTTTCACAGGACACCCTGGATGAAGCTAACTACTTCCCTGGTCTTTCACCTCCGACCTCTCCCGTTGCTAATGGTCACATCCCGGCAACCAACCAAACCCTTCAACCCAGTCACATGACCAGCCCCAATGAGAACACCAACTCTAATCATAGCAGCGGAGCATCCAATGAACATCTGTATGTCAACGGTAGCTGTCGTAGCTTACGTGGTGCTGGAGGGAGTTTAGATAGGGAAGGTCATCAAGGTCAGGGGTCGTTGACCTTTCCTGGGTCGGGGTCATATGGTACTGGAGACCGGCCAGTGTGCCCTAGTAGACATCCTAAAGGTGATCGCAGCAGACGAAGGAAACGAGAGGGCACGACCAGTAGAGAAGGTGGGTTATAAAAACAAATTAAATTTTAGAAAAACGCTAGAAAATTTTAAGAACTCGAGCACCCAATCAGCCATTCATCAGGGTTCAAAATTAGCGGTAGCCCGCTAGCCAAATGCTAGTCAAAACAGCGGCGGGCTAGTCAAACTATTCCTGAAGTAGCCCGGCTGGCGAGTCAAAAAAATTATTGGGATACGGCAAAGATGAACGGACAGGAAGAAATATTTCATTAAATTCAGAAAGCAAACCTGTACCAATTTGTTTCTCACTTTTATCAACTGTTAAAGGGTTACATTATTAGATCCATTTATTAACAATACTGACAAAATTTGCGACAGAATTGAGCCTGAAAGTATATCATTTTGTATTTGAGCTAAACAAAAACAACAACATGCGGGCTAGTGAAAGTGCCCGCGGGCAAGTTAAGAGTCTGTTTCAGTAGCCCGGCTGGATAGTGAAAAAAAGTTTAGGTCAAACCTTGTTGATGTCAGGGAAACACTCCATGCTGTAATCTTAAGTTGGAATTTAAGACGATTTTTACATTTAGATTCCAAGTAATCCGATGTCTGCTTGTTGATTAGATCTTGCACCCAGTCTGAGGTAGGCATTTGTGTTCAGCAAACGCTGCACAGTGTGGCCTTCCTGATACTCTTTTTTTACAGAAAATTGTGAGTAATTTTAATATTTTGCTGATACAAATTAAATTGCTCTGCAATTGCTGTTTTGTCTTTTAGCCACAGATACTGAAATGGCTTCTGAGGTCCCACCATCGTCAAAGAATAACGTCCCTCCAACAGTAGCTCAAACAGCGCCCTCGCCTGGCAATGAGACTTCCAGTCAGCAAGGTTTGTCACCAGAGGTCAATCTGACACTACCTAGTCAGGGGTCACATGACTCCCTCAACCAATCACAAGACAGCGGTTCTTGTAGAATTGTCAAACATTCAGACATATAGTATTTCTGTTCAACAGGGTGGTGTCAACCAGTTTAGTGTAATTATTTTTTTAACCTGCGCACCCCTTCTGAACTGAAATGGATGCTCCCTATTTACTGTCAAACAGTGGAGCAAGCATTATTTGAGAGGGGTGTTTCTTTTAAAAAAATGACTGTCAGGGTTTACGTTTTTTGTAAATAATATTTTCTTGTAAAAAGAATGTTACTAAAGGCTGAGAATGAACAAGTTTGAACTTGATTTTTTTTTGAAATTGAAAACTGTAAAAACGTATTGCCGAATCAGAGAGACTCTTATACAAACTGCGATCATCCCACCAATCACCAATGAGCTTCTTTACATTTCTTCTTCCAGTTGAATATTTATGCAAGCAAACCGACTGAAAAGATCTGTTCCATCACGTTTGATAGCTTATTGTCATGGTATGCCGTCAAATCATCATGAATATGCAGCAGCTGATTTGCATATGCAAATCAAAATCTTCCATTCATCCATTCACTTCCAAAAACAAACAAGCCCTCCTGAATATGCAGCAGCTGCTTTGAATATATTATGTACACAAGTACACTCTTCCTTATGCCACCTCATTGTTTCAAACATATACAATAAACATGAATATGCAGCAGCTGTTTTGAATATGCAAATCAAAGTTTTCTAACCATCCCTCCAATAGAAGAACGCTTTTTGTGCCTTGTTGTTAATTTACATTCATTTTGCACCCTTATTTAAACGCACGGATTGTATTTTTGTAATCACGCACAAAATAATGTTTGCTTTTTGTTTGCTTTTGAAAATATTCCTCTTATAAATGAATCAATGGGATTTAAATTACTTGTGCTCATGCTCATGAATGTAATTAATTTCTTCCTTTGTTGACCGAAACACTGCCATTGTGATTTTAAAAATACTGCCATTGAATATTTAAATGTAAATTGTATTGTAATTTTGAAGCGGGGCTTCCTAAACAAAATTGTATAAGCGCCAGAACAAGCAAATATGCTCAACAGAAATCTGTGCTAAGCGTGATTGAGCCCAATTCATGTACAGTGGTTGAGTGAGGGATGGTCTGTGCTTACTGCTTACATTAGGTTAGCAAGTTCTGTTAGACTTCATTAAGAGGCTGATCCCATGTGGATATCAGAGAGGTATCTATTTGGTGACTGGAAAAGAGGCTAAACATTTGGCTAAAAAGTTCATTGAGTAATGTGGAAACTGGGCCCCATTTCTAGTGATGGCAGCCACATAACGGAGAGATTATTTCCAAAATGTGATATAAGCCATTTTGTTACCTTTCTGAATCCTGCTGTCTCCTGGCTGCCCGAAAGCAATTTTGACGGCTGTTATATGCTTAAACACAACTTAAGAATACAATCAAGCGAAGAATGATTTTTAGAAATAGCGATTACACTGTTTTTTATTCCTTTAAGTTTCAGAACTGTGCAAATGTTCACCTTTATCAAATGTATAGGCCGCATTTTGGAAATAAACTCTTCATATGCTTAAGTTCTATAGGTAAATGGTGTGTTGTCTGCTGAAGGCAAAAGCTGAGTTTATAAAGCTAGGGCTAGTTTGTAGTCACAGCTTCAAGTGCTTTAAAAGCTGCACCTGAATTGCACATCCATTTGGAAGCATCTTACAATGTAGCTATTCCCAAAGTGCAGTAAAATTTGTACTTTATCAGAGTTAAATGTCAGTATTTCAGCTCATTATTTTTGGTACCTCAAATGTAAATAAAAACGTGGAATAATGCAAAATCATGGATTCAAAGTGATAGATTTCAGCTGTATGTTGAGATGTTGAAATCTGAATAATTTGTTAGTAACTTCCAAAATTGTGCTAGAACATGTCGCTTGTCAACATGGACATTATTGATCAAGACAAATCAGGTCTGTGGTGACCTGGAGGTCAGATGATATGCTAATTTATGTCAAAGGTCAGCCCATAAGTCCGTATTATAATATTCACTATATTTTATGTATATATATGAAGGCAATACAATGTACAGATTGTAATTACTATTACGTATTCATACATTTTACCCGACGGCTTTTATGTAAAAACAAAACAAAAATCCAAAATACTGTGCCGTTGTTTTCTACTATTTATTTCTGACCACTTTTATGCAGTGGATGTACAAACCAAAATGCTTGGTGGATGCCATCATTGAAAAATGTCGGTCAGTAAAAATTGTTGACCGTTTTTTCTTCTTAATTTTGTGTGTAGACATTGTTATGTGATCTTGTCTTTGTATGCGTACTTCTTGACAAATAATGCTTAAATCTGAAATACTTCTATATATGTATGTGTAAACTTAATGATGAGGATATCAGTGGGTTCATGTTAGTCCATGTATAATGTTGGTGTTGGTTGCTATGGTACACAATCGTTACCATGGAAACAAGATGTAGTGTGAATTGCACTGCATTCAGATTGTCATTTAATATTGGTGTAGCTTTCCCAGTCTCCAAAAACTTTCTTTTTTAGTTTTTGTTTTCTTTTAACTCTATTTTCTTACAAATGCACAGTATTACAGTTCAACACATTTTTTAAAAGTTTCCTATTTTCTTAAAACTTTGTCTTTGCAATCATTGGTTTTTGTTGAAGAAAAACGAAAGAAAAAGGATGACAAATTCCCAAAACACTGACAAATATCAGCTCTCGACGTGTAACAGGTGCCATTCCGAGATGACACCAAGTTGCAATCAGTTCGACACAAATTTTAAGAAAAGCTTAACATATACGCAGCTATTTGCTTGCATTGATATTTGAGCATTTTGGCCTGTTATCCTTGAACAACTAACATGAATTCACTGATTACCTTTGCTTTCTGTGAAAGGAAAGATCGCTCTTTATGTGCTGCTGCAGCTAGTGTAATGTACTGTAACATGTATGACTATAGTGATGTGCATAGAGAGAATGTGTGGTGAATAATCTGTCCAAGTTATGAAGTCATTTTTGCTGGGCATGCTTTGCTATCATGTTCGCACCCATCTGGCCAAATTATCCAATGTGTACACTCTTCAAGATAGCTTGAATACCATATCATTAGAAGCCCTTTAGCATCTCTCCATGCCGGTAGACTTCAAGGCTTATTTCATAGGAGTATGGAGTACAGGCTATGTTACACATTGCTTTTGGTTAATAGACAGCTGGGTGCACCAGATAGCAAATGAATGCTCATTCAAAGTTACATCATGTTTAATGGGTATCTTCCTGACCACTTGAGGGCGCTGTTTCCAATTTAAATATCAGAGTATACACCTAAAATAAACTCACACTTTGGGCAGTTTTGCTGAAATGTATATTTTAACTATCAAATCTTTTATTGAAGAGATGTACAATTTCTTTGGTAAAGGAGTTTGTCCTTAATGTCCATGTCTGTGTTAAAGCGCCCTCATGCAGTCGTCACGTAATGCCTATTGCAACTTTGTGCGAATAAGTGTAGTAAGCATCCAGCAATCAGTATTCACTATAAAGTAGATGCCTCCTTGAACCATTAGGTGCTTAGCCTAGATAACTATGCTTAGCACTAAATGTATTACTTGCCGTTGTGTCACTTAGGCCAAATTATTATGGAGCTGCAGGGCCTGTCTCAAATGGTATCCGTAACGAGTTCCTGACAAGTTGTGGGCATTGTATTGGTATAAGTTGCAGGATTCAGAACAATTGTCCTTGCAATCTTCCCACAATGATGTTATCAGTAATGAGTATTGGTGAGTCAAGCAGTTGCTCATCATAAACATTTCCCCGGACATGTCCGTGACAAAAGCGGAGCTTCTTCCGGACTAAGTGAATGATTCTACCCACAACTTGTCCAGAACTCATGCTGGATATGATTTGAGACAAGCCCTAAGACGAACACACTGCTTGGCAAAGGCTGAGCAGAAAACCAGTCAGTAGCAAATAACAAAGCTACAAATGGCATTTTAGCTGGTAACCAATGTTTCTTCTCACTAGTAGCGCCATGAAACCAGCCTGAATAGATCTCAGCGTAGGCTTTGGGACTAAGATTAACTGCATTGGAAGACGAACTAGGCTGATCAGAGGCATGGTAGAAAAATGCATTATAAAAGGTACTCGGAGGAAGTTGTATTGTTCTTGGGGGAATTTCTAAACCTTTTCTTTTTCTTCGGCTCAGTCAGAATTTACACCCCTGACGTGGGAAATTTTGGCCCAGTATTCACTGTAGGTCCATGCTGTGCTTTACAAAGGAAGCCGACATTTGGAGTATTTCTATTCAATTGGGATATTTAAAATAAAATCTAAATAATCGTACCTGGGATGAAGCCAGCGATGAAGCGAAGCTGTCTAAAACTTCCTCTGATAATTCATCCCGGATATCTAAACGCTTTTGTTAATGACATTGAAGAAAAATCCAATTTTGCCCAACCTTTGTTTGGTTTCTCCAGTACTAGGGATGCAAGTCCTGCAGTTGCCTGATTTTAGGTCATTTTTTCAAATTGTAACATCTTGACACCATACACGTATGTACATTTTTCTTTACACTTCAAATTTCAGGCAAAAATGTCAGATTCCACTTATATCCCTGTGTGGATTTCCCCAAAATCTTTGAAACCATGAACTAAAACTTCTACATCATCAGTCTCAGTCTGCCCAATTTAGTACCCAGTAACTACTTATGACAAAAACTGTACTTATTGACTTCAATCTTTATCCTGTTATTTTTTAATTGTCATGACAAACCATCGAAATGATATTTGAAGAGTATAGTATTTGTAAATGAGTATATTGCGGAGACTTATTGGATATAAAAAATGGTATGCTCCATTGATGTTGAAAAATTACATGTGATGTGTATGCATTCTTTGTGTGTTGTGTTTATTGCTGCCTAGTTTAGCACAACTGTCTGTTTTTGTTCCTCATTTTAACTGATTTTTTTTTCAAAAGGTTAAATCTAATACTGATAACAAGCAATTTGTAACATTGGTTTTAGGGAATCTAAATGTGGCCCAACACCAAAGCCTTCACTTCTTTTGTTTTTTCAACATTTATAGCAGTTAGAAACCAAAACAAACAAATAGATCATTCAAATGAACAAATCAAATGACTAAAACAAGAACAAGCTTTTGCAGAAACCATCACTGGTGTTTTATTGTCAACTGAGACTGGCCTCTCACCTTCAACATGTTTCTGCAAAGTTTGGCGAAAAGTCATTTTGGGTCCAAATTTCATGAAAAAAGTAAGGTTAACACCTTGTCTTTTTTTCAATTTTGGCCAAAAATGAAATTGCTTGAAATTTGCTGGATAGATGGCTAAAGGACCCTAGAACACATTTCAATTCGATTTCTGGACAGATCAGCTTTTAAAAAGGATATTTGGACAAAAGTTTGCGGTAAAAACAACATAAAATTTAAGTTTTGTCTCCAAAAATTAATGATTTTAGCCAAAATCTTTAAAATATTGGGTGTTTGCATGCTGATTGGTGCTCCTCTCACCTTTAAAATTATACCTGCATGGTTTGACGAAAAGTCATTTTTTGGCCAAATTTCGTAAAAAAAGTAAGGCTAAACCCTTGTGTTTTTCTTTAATTTTGGCCAAATTATGAAATTGCTTGAAATTTGCTGGATAGATGGCTCAAGGACCCTAGAACACATTTCAATTCGATTTCTGGACAGATCAGCTTTTAAAAAGGATATTTGGACAAAAGTTTGCTGTAAAAACAATATAAAATATTATTTTTTTCTCCAAAAATTGATGATTTGGGCCAAAGTCTTTAAAATATTGGGTGTTTGAATGCTGATTGATGCTCCTGTCACCTTGAAAAATGTTTCTACAAAGTTTGGAGAAACGTCATTTTTTGCCAAATTTCATAAAAAAAAGTAAGGCTAACAGCTTGTTTTTTTTTTCAATTTTGGCCCAAAAATGAAATTGCTTGAAATTTGCTGGAAAGATGGCTACAGGACCCTAGAACACATTCGAATTTGATTTCTGGACAGATCGGCTTTTAAAAAGGATATTTCGACAAAAGTTTGCGGTAAAAACAATACAAAATAATATTTTTTTTTTTTTCCAAAAATTGATGATTTGGGCCAAAATCTTTAAAATACTGGGTGTTTGAATGCTGATTGATGCTCCTCTTACCTTAGAAAGTATTTCTGAAAAGTTTGGCGAAAAGTCATTTTTGGGCCAAATTTCATGAAAAAAGTAAGGTTTACCCCTTGTGTTTTTTTCAATTTTGGCCAAAAAATGAAATTGCTTGAAATTTGCTATATATATGGCTAAAAGACCCTAGAACACATTCTAATTTGATTTCCGGACAGATCAGCTTTTAAAAAGGATATTTTGACAAAAGTTTGCGGTAAAAACTATATAAAATGATATTTTTTCCTCCAAAATTGATGATTTTGGCCAAAATCTTTAAAATATTGGGTGTTTGAATGCTGACTGATGAGAAAACATCTAAAGAATTTCCTAACAACTCTGGGATTTCTTTATTATTGATTTCTTTATTTTTTAATCACATACAGATTTGTTAACACAATTATTCATTAAAAAAGCTATGCGTATAGATATTGCCTGCAATGCATACAAAACTATAGCTGCTTATTGAGCAGGTTAAGCGCAGTACTTCAACTCTACATGTCCATTGAGTGGGCTCAACTTACATGTGTACATAATATTAAAACTCCGGAATCTGCCAAAATCCACATTTATAGTAAGATATGCAACTGCCCCCCCCCCCCCTCCCCATTGCATTGGTCATTGGGTTCTTCCTTTGAGATAGGGGGACGTGTTAGGTAACAATAGTCTAGTTTGTTTAGGGTATAGGGACAATAGAGGTACCCCTACATGTACAATGTATGTCTCAAATTGTACACGGTATATAACTCCAACACTCTAGGTTTTTTATGATTTTGATGGTTACCAGACCATCAGAGTCCAGACACCATGATTCTAAAATGATCACAGTACTTGTACAAAGATTCAGGCATGCAAACAGGAATTTAGCACACACAAAAAACTTGGCAATTCCAAACCACACAAGGCTTTGTACAATATTTTTCAATTTGTAAGGCATTCATGAGGAGTAAAAAACCAGGAAATCAGCGGATCCGAGGAAAAGTTGCAGGCCTGAAGATTGTGTCCCTGAATTCAATGTGCATTGTTGGATGTTGGCAGATTCCTGAAGGTTATTGGCATATAGCCTCAGGTGGTAGTAAGAGTTAATAATGCACATCTAATAAATAATCCCCTCTAAAAGTACAATAAATTCCTCACTAATTTAAGCAAACAAATATGAACAAAATCTTGACCTTTTCTGATTTTGAAGCACCAAACAAGAATGAGAATACACATTAATGTAATTGTAATTTTACAATGTTTCAAATAAAAGGAACTAAAAGACTTGATTTTGCAAACAAACCAAATTGAGTTGAAGGCCAGTACTATTGACTGTTTCTTGTCACACATCTCATGTCTAATTAGTGAACCATCATTTCAGTTTCACTTGATCTGTCTCAGTACAATTTTGCACTTGCCATTTTTACAGCAATACCCTGAATACATCCCTTCAATATCTCTTCTTGAAAATTAAAGTGACTCCCAATCCCCCAACTGGGCTCAATTTCATAACTCTGCAAACCACGGAATTCCACGTTTACGATCACCATTCTGTCATGTCTGTGCTAACAGCGCTAGCAAAAAAAAATAAATCTGTGCTAAAGCTGTAAGCATAGAATCCTTAGTAACAGGATGTGCACATGCGCAGAAGCCAACATTTCTCGCTAGTTATTATACTAACCGTAAACCCGGTAAGCAGATCCATGGAATTGGGCCCTGGTCTTACGTACAGGGATGTACCTGGTTTGGGGAATGTTGTACAACCGATTGCACCTTTCACAAACACATGTATGTCGTCAGGTGCACCACAAAGTGACTTCGCGATACGACCGACAATGTACAGTTGTAGTACCTGAAACTAGGAAAAAGTATACTTTTGTGCAAAGAAAAGTTTGACAGTTAAATGGAGTTATAGAATAAGCATGATGTGTTCTTTAATGACATCCACTGGGTTTGCTATGGTCAGACACATGTTGTGAAGAAAAACATTTCAGCGGCTCATTTCAGTGGCACATTTCAGCGGCATTTAAAAATTTAACTAAATTGAGACCTGCATTGTCCATTTATAAAAAAAAAAAAAAAAGAACACAAAACACAGTTTACACTGTAGTTGCATTTTTGGAATTAAATTTAAAAAAATACCTCTCTTTTCCTGCTATTTCCCGACACACAAACAATTGTCAGAAGCTGTTCTCTTGATCACATCACTACTGTGCTCATGAATATGCAAAACAAATGCAACATTTGCATACAAAAATTGCCCAGAATGAACATACCAGAACTCCGTTGTTTGTTAGTCAAATGTTACAAATGATGACAGTATGACGACATGTACTACTGCAGTTACAAAAGTACAAGTACATGTACCGTATACTGCTCATGACTAGATTTTTTTTTTAGTTCTTTTTATGTACAGTAAATACATACTTTTCTGCTTATTTTAAAGATTAGCATCAACTTTCAAAAACAAATTTCCTTTTTTCTTCAAAGAATACAAAATGAGAGCAAGCAATACAAAATTCTCTAGTACTTTTTGCTTTCTCTACTTTTACAACATATTTCAGAATGCATCTATCACGGTAGTTTGGAATGCCATTTTGTTGAATGTTAACAATCGAACATCAAGAATTTGGAAGGAATATCGTTATGTTGTAATCAGCGTAAACTTAGATTATTTTAAACATGATTAGTTTGCCTTAAGAATAACATAACAAATACATGAAGTACACTTGTAAATATCGTTATCTGAACACAAAGGCATGAATAATATCTTTGGTAGACTCAGCTTAATAAAAATCTGAAAGCAGCTAAATATATACACAATAAAACTTTCTAGGCTTGGATGTCATAGTACTTTGAGTAAAAATTCAAACTTGAAAACATATACATGTATATAGGATTACACTTCTTCATGACTATGGTATTTGTGCCAAAAATGTGATAATATTAGACATAACTATAGAACACAAGTGGAAATAATGAACTTGAAAACACTAAAGGGAAATGGCCTAAAAACCCAAATAGTTTTTTTTCTTAAAAATCCTTGAAATGAATCCAAAATGTTCAAGGAAAAAACTCCCTGCAATTCCAAAAGTACAAAATTGTAAAACGTTTTTTTCACAAAATCCTCAAAAAAATTATGAAGACAATCATTTTTTGGCACCTGGATATATAATATTTCAAACCTACTGAACTTTTTCACGTACATGTTATTGACCTTGATTTCCATGGGGTGTTTACAAGATCTGGTTGAACTTCTCGGTGCAAATTTACATTTAAAAGCGAGTTTACTATGGCAGTTATTATGTCCTTCATCAACCAACATTTTTCAATAAAGCAAAGCGTCATTTAATTAAGCATTTGCTTTGTACTCTGTGATGCAACACTCCACTTTGCCTGGCACTCTCACATTCCATTAAAGGGAATGTACATCATTGGCTTAGCTGTAATTTTCAGAAATGAACTACGTTGTATATGTGGGGCTAGTATAATAGATCAAATATTGTTACACTGACATAATTGAAATTTTGTGTTTGAAAATACTGGAAAAACCAAGAAAACCAAAAATCTTCAAGTAGTCTGGTTCCCCTACTCCACTAAAGATAAACTGGATCAATTTATAGATGCCGGAAAATTGTAAAGTATTGGAACCAGTCTAGCTGGTCTGCACCCGTTCATGACGTGTAACCCATAGCAAACAAAATTTGGACTAAAAAAAAAATGGCAAATTTGGAGCAGTAGTTGAAACATAGTAACGTTTTTCCAACGGTGGTCGGCTGACCACCGTTGGAAATTTATACAAAATACCACTTTTCTTGAAGATGACTTCACATCAGGTGCCATAATTTTACAAGATGCTTTAGACTGTCATTTACCGACATCCTAGTAAGGTATTTTGTAAAAGTGTGGTAGTTTTGTTTTTCAGTGTTTGCAAATGTTGTATAATTATTCCCTTTAACAGCCTGCAGTGTTGGTCTACATATGGGCTCCTTGCACAAGTAAGCATGGGAGAGTTGAAGACGACCACTGGGCGACACAGCAATGCCTGACGCTCGCACACATGCAGAAGACAAGTAGTCATGCGAACTTTGTGCTATACACGACGCTACCAGTACATTCACTGGGTGTCCCATCCATGGGGGTCTTGAAAGTGGTAAATACTGCCCTCTCTTGTTCCCACACGGAGCCCATACAACCCTCCCTTGAGTTTCCCCTCCTATTTCAACTTTGATTTGTTCCCCTTGCCCCATCCGGGGCTCAGAAACTCAACAGATTTTGCAAGCTCTACATGTTGGCTTGTTTCACACACCTACCAACTCCATGCACAAATATCCTCCCAATTAATAATGACACAGATTGAGATTTGACAGGCAGTTGGATATCATTGCTGCTATGTACTGCATTCCCATGCACTGAAAGCTACTCAGTGTAAACAATTTTAATGTTATCCTGTACATGTAAAAACCACAAAGGATGATACAAAATACACTTTCTATTGGGAGCTGTTGTCATCCTTTTGTTACCATCATTTTGCATGTCCCATCCTGAGTGCCTTGCACAAAACGTAGAATGCCATGGTCCAGTGGTTACGGTGTTTGACTCATGTACGAAGGTGCGTGGGTTGAACCCTGCCAGGAACATGGTGTTTGTGCTCGTGGGCAAGACACTTAACTACAATTGCCTCTCTCCACCCAGGAGTACGAATGGGTACCTGTGAGGGTAGAGGACCGAATGTGCGCTGATATCGGCTGCCACATAGTCTCATTGCCTGATAAACAGGGGAATAATTGTTGCTTTGAGATTGTTGATACGATGGAAAGCGCTACGTAAACATTAGAACTGTTAAAATCAGAGGTAAGCATTTTGGGTCCAATTGATCAAGGACTCTTTCAATAGTTTGAAGCTTTAATGCGTGGCATACTCACAAGAGCTTGAGTTTATGGGACACACAGCTTGTGCACAATGTTTTCCGTGTGTATGGTATAAAAGAAATGTTTGATGTGACCATGGACAAGCCTTTAGGATGTCTTGACATGGGCCGCGGGCACACAGCTTGATTTGCTTCAAGTGTCTGGCAAATCTCTCTCTTTCACTACATGGCAATATCATCACAACATGGCAATATCATCACAACACGGCAATATCATCATTTTACAAGCTATCATTTTCATTCAGCCGTCTTAGTAATTATTAAAAAATATATGCACGTATTAGAGTCTTGACATATAAAACTGTAGTGCAATAATGAATATATAAGGCATCTATGTGTATAAATATTGCTTAGTAGGTTAGAGTACTTTTGCATTAATTGGTTAATTTCATCCCCACACATTCCGTTACCTCGGCGACCCTGCATCCTCAGAACTTCATCAGAACTGTTGCCATGGAGATGGAAGCCATAATGGTTGCCATGGCAGCCAGGACATTTGAGGCCTTGCTTCTTGACGCACCAGTTTCTATGGAAAAAAAGAGTATTTCTCGTGTGATTCTTATGACTTAAAACTGTTGTTGAAGCATGACATGGTTCAACAAACTGAGAGTCAAGTCAAAATCAAATCACGACAAGTGTATTACAACAGCTTGGTACTGGCCCTTCATTGGGTTTTGATTCACTAAAGGCAAAGTCATTATACAGGGTGGTAGAAAAAAACCCGGAATGGCACATTTCCATTACCCTGAGATTCAAACCACATACACCAATGCATGCAGAATCTTGTTAGAAGAAAAATGAAACCAATTAAGATCGCCCAATTCGGTCCAGTAGTTTTTGTTCTAGAGCCTATTTTGTGAAGCAAGGTGGGGTCGTTTTTGTCCCGATGAACTACTAAACTGCCCCCAGGAATTTAACTTACATTGTGATTGATTTAGGGATTGTTAAAGAGGTTGTGGAATGCTCGAAGACATTTCCGTCATTTTTTGGGTATATGTAGCCTAAGGTGTGATGGAATAAAAACGACTATTGTGTCTGTCATGAAATGAGTACAAAGAGTACTTTTGAGAGCTATTTTTCAGGTCCTGTTTTGACCCGAACGTGCAATTTGTGTAAAAGTCGTCGTTGCGGGCAGCAAACAAAACACAGTAAATCGTGACGTAATAAACAGGACTCGTTTATGCTATTCTGCATCGGGAGTCCTGTTTATTATGTCACGATTTACTGTTTTTTGTTTGCTGCCCGCAACGACGACTTTTACACAAATTGCACGTTCGGGTCGAAACAGGCATGACAGGACTTGAAAAACAGCTCTCAAAAGTACCTTTTGTACTCATTTTATGACAGAAACAATAGTCGTTTTTATTTCATCACACCTTAGGCTACATATACCCGAAAAATGACGGAAATGTCTTCGAGCATTCCACAACCTCTTTAAGTAATAATACCCACATGAAAGAAGTGTGCTTCACAAAATAGGCTCTGCAGCAAAAATTACTGGACCGAATCGGGAGATTTTGGTTTCATAATTCTTCGACAAGGATTCTCCGTTAATTGAAACAGATGGTTTGAGGCTGAAGGTAGTGCAAGTATGCCCTTCCGTTGTTTAGGGACCACCCTGAATAGTCCCACTCTTCAACTTTATCATTTGCATACGTCAGGAAATTTGTTTGGAGTGTCTGGAATCTATGGTGAATGAACTGATTCCCTCAACAACATAGAGTCACTACAGCAATTCTAACTGACCGGGCAGCTTGGAGTTGCCCAAGCATACCAGTAAGTCTTGCTGTCTGAAGAATTTTCCTAATCATTTTAACCCAAGACCTTTTGCTACGATCTATTCCCAATCCTTCAAAATCATTCAATAATCACTGTTGATACGCTGAAGCAGTGCATACGCTATCCAGTATGATGTAGACCTCGGTTGTGCCTCGCTAAACATAAACAAGGGTACAGCTTAAGACCTTGACACACTGCATCCTCCAAAATCAACCGACAATTTGTTCAATTCAGCCTCAATCCTCCGAAATCCTCCAAAACAGCCCGGTTGATTTAGGAAGATTGAGAAGTGTTAGGGTTAAACCAATTTGTTAAGAGTCTAGGGTTTACATACCTGGGTCAATCTGCTTGCCAACTAGTTGTAAGAACGGACAAGAATGGAAAGAGAAAAAAAAGAAGAAACATCAACTGAACATCAAGGTTCTCTGTTATAATGTGAAATATACAGTTTAGATAAGTCTTAACCCCATGCATATGGGTAGCGGTCATGGCCGCGGCCGCTAATCCTCATTGGAATGCAGTTGCCTTATTTTTGCCAGCTGTGGTATGCCATGGCACATGGCTAGTCAGGGTAAGTCCACAGCTGCTGCTTTTGTGCAGTCCCGCTACCACACAAAGGCTGTGCAGTCATGCGGGCCACTTGCTCTATGTGTGGAGGAATGTCCCCATTATACCCGTCCTTAAGGGGTTAATCCCAGTTTCTGTATCAACAACAATGGTAGACTTTAAGTCAGTAAATCAAAATGGGGAAAAAGTTATTCACCCACTCCAAACTAGTCCTAACCTTGGACTCTGTTGTTTTGTTTGATTTATGTACTTATTTTTATCAGAATGTTACAGCTAGCCACAGCCTAGTCATTTGGACCCAGCCTTAGATCCATACAAAAAGACCATTTATACTGGTACAAAGGTACATGCAGTGTACAAAGTGTTCAAGTATTCTGAGCTTTCAAAGTCTGTCTTACCTTCAAGCCTTACGTCAGCCTGAGCAGATCCCAGTAAGTTCTCCAACCGACAGGTGTATTTGCCCACATTCTGATTACTGACTGATGTGACTATGAGTGTAGCAATGGACGTCTCTCTGTAGGGATCCATGTCCATATCTAGAGATACACTCATCTGATAACCATCACTGGCACTGCAAGAAACAAACACAACAGTTCAGAGATGAAACTGGCACATGGGAAACAAATCGGAAAATATGCCGAACCAAAAGACGTGTCTGAAATCTGGGCCGCTCTGCAGTACACAGCTATGTACAATACACTTCATGCCCAAATTCCGGACACCGCCTCCTGTAATTTTACAATGAGAAAAATCTTCAGTGTTTTCATAATATTAGAATGCTTTAATTAAGGTTAGAGCAATGAAGTCATCTACAAAGAAGTTCACTTCTTACTTGAGAAAGTTGAGGAAAATTCTGAAAGATAAGGACACCATTCATGACACCATTCCATCATGTCCACGATTCTTATTCCTCCATGATTCAACCAAACTCCACTAACATGCTTGAGAAAAATCGGGCATTATCGACTTTTTCTTCCAAGAACTGCCAGTGAAATGTATCACTTACGCTCTCTTCGCCATCGTCAAGATAAGCATTCTGATTTTTAAAGCATTGCATTTTGTACAATTCAATCTAAAACCTCCGAAAATCGCTTAACTAAGTTGGATTTTATCTATTGTGGCTACCCGTACCTGGTCGGCCATGTGCTAACGGGCGGCACGGTACGGGTACCGTTGCATAAGCTAGTGTGCACGCACGCACCACACACTGTCCGTGTGACGCAGTGATTTTTCCATGTCACAGGTCAATGTTTAACCTTCTATCCAGCAGGAAAGCCTCCGATCAGTGCCGGCCTAGGTGTTTCTACGGTAGAAACACTCCGTTTACGACTGGTGAAAGAGATTAAAACTACACTCGCGATAATTTTTACGTGCCCTTTTCATCAACTTTTTCATCGACTTTTCTTCGAAATTAAAGTTTAAATAAAATCACATATTGTAGAAAATCGTACAAAAATTGGATATTCGTTGGAAAAGTCAAAAAGTCGATTTCCAATTTAAATCGGAAAAGTTTCATCTCTGAACAGTTACATTATAAATGAACTCTGCACAGGAACCTGAGACATTTTGTTGTCAGGGTGATCCATGGATCGCAAGACCTCACATGTCAATCATGAGTCATCCAATCCCAAGTCAACTCACAAGTTATTCAAACAAACTGTAACAAATGCATTCCTTTGCTATTGTTTTCCGATGTTCATCTATTACTTGTGATGTATGTGATCTGTCTTAAGTACCTTCACTGCTTCACTGACTTTGGATGTGTGGCCTATCACGTGCACAAACCCACAGAAGGACTCAGGCATGTACATGTACACACGGCTTCAAAAAGTGCAAAATAAAACGTGTCTGTGACCAATTTCAGCTGAATGGAAACCTGTGGCATCAATGCAGAATGATCAAGCGTACACAGCAAAACGACACCTGATTTTGCTCCTATTGTTAAAGTTATAGTCCATCATTTGTAATTTGTGCATTTTGTTCGTTTGAAGCAACAAAAGTGCGCAAAATCTAGAGAAGGGTGCTGAACAACTAACGTGATGAAGTTTCGGCTCAGTTTCAGCTGTATATTTGGAGAAAAACATCATGCTAGGATCTCGATTTCAAATCAAAAGTTGCTGAATCATGTTTTGAATTGCGCCTGAATTCAGAGCCCGAGACACATTCTCGCTAAGCCGAATGCAGCTACGCTATGTCGCGCACTGATCCGACGAATTATAGCAACCGGGGGTGCGTGTGCGTCGTGCCAATGCTTGCGCGCGCTTCACTGCATAACAAAATGAACTACTAATTTAAATTTTCCTACGGTGTGTCTTAAGAAGCACTGTTGGAAAGGCCTTCTTTCGTTGAATACTTCAAAATGACAGCTTGCCAGAAAGAATAATTTCACAGGGAGTTTAGTCCCTTTACTATCTTTCAACCAGTATGTTTTTCAACAATAATTACGCTAGCTCCTTTTTGGATAGCTGCAAATGATGGACTCAGGCTTTAAGTGAGAAGACAATGTGTACTTTTGAGGTTACAATTTTGTTTATCGGTCAACTTTTTGTAGTCAGAGCCTAATCAATGTTGGCTGATTCAAGTATTTTACATTTTTAAGAACCCTCCTCTTTCCAATCATTTCTCAATCAGATGTTTCCATGGTAATCCAAACCAAAGATTGATACCCTCCATTACTGCTGTTGCCAAGGTTACAGTATTGATCAAACTGCTTCACGACTTGGGGTGACTTTCTGGCTTCAAACGAAATATGGATTTGTTTTGCACTTCAAGTCCACACAAAAGAAACGTTACATGGATTTAACACTTGCTGTGAACATGGGAGGATAGACACCAGTACCACACTTTGAAAATGAAAGCAGCAAAGGAAATATTGACATGTACTCACCCCACAAGACGATCATCTTTGAACCACTGGACGTTGTCTACAATCTTGACAGCTGGGAAGGATTCACCGATGCACTGTAGCTGGGCAGAGTCTCCAATGGGAGCAGCAACTAACTCATTTAAAGCTCTCACTATGGGGGAATCTAAAACCATCACAGATAGAAACAGGTGTAATGATGAATGCTAGTTGATTGATGTGTCCACCTTAAATAAGGTCCGAGTATACAAAGTCCATTGGAAGGGCCTATGAAAAAGTACTTTTGACTTGGATTCTTGAAATGTGCCTTTTGATCTAATGTAGCAGCAAACAGCAGATTTTCATTTCAGTAACGTTTCAGATGAACATGAGAGGCCAGTCTAATGTCCTGTAACTAACTCAGTCACTGACTGAGTGAGTCACTGACTTTCAGGGCCACAAAGTTCACTACGCCAGATTATGCAAGTTTAGCCTAACTCCCTAGCATGATTTACTAGGAACCATACCCATCCTGGCAAATTCCAACACCATATGGGAACTGCACACACATATTTCTGACTTAGATTCTGGAGGTGTGCCAACCCAATGTAAAAGACTGTCAGTTTAGGGGTACTGTACCCATCCTGACAGATTCCAACAAAACATGCTGTTGGGGTTTGATGGGTTGAGTTCTGTTGGGTTAATGTTTCTTTTGTGGTTGTCTGTTCACTTTTATAACAAACAGTCACTAAAAAAACTACTACTGTTTCAGTGCTCTAGAGTAAATTTCATCTATTCCTAATAGTCATCAACCTGTAAGAGAAAGACCACAGGTACATGTTACCGGTACAGTAGGCGTTAAGATTGAGACTCTCATTTCAGGCTGGCTTCCAAGAGTCATGCCTAGCACAATTTGATTAGGAACGTGTTTTTGTTTTATGTTTGACTGAATTACACGAAGGAAAGTTTTCACACGCCCACTCAATGGCAAAGTAACACCTCGGTCATCGTGTCTGAAGCCACACTCTATATGAAACAGCTTGATGGGTCACCCTTGGTGCTCTTTGGTCCAGTCTGGGTCTAGCATAGCATTAGTGCATTTTGTGAGTTAGAAATTTGGCAATTGTTTTCCCGACTTACACTCCATCTGCAAGAAGACAGGTGCAGTGACCGCTCCTTGTCCGATCCCGTTAGTCACAAAGCATTGGTACAACCCCCTCCAATCATTGGTGATATCACTGATAACCAGCGGGTTACCAGTCACAAACTCCACACCAGACGGAAGATTGCCGGCCGGTCGCTGACGAGTCCAAGTGACCGATGGCTCTGGACTACCGGTGGCATTACACCAAAGAGTGACCATAGAGCCTGGCATTGGGGCCATGTCTGGTGTAACTGAGGTTATAACAGGTGCAGCTGAAATGGACAAAAATGGGAGGAGAGTTTAAGTTAGTAATTAAAATAACAGTATGTTCTGCTTCAACATCACAAATGAATCAACCAGAGACTTGCTGAAAATTATGGGAGCAAAATGTTGATACAAAAGAAAAATGGCTGACGCAGAATTAGAACCTAAATTCCTAAATACATGTATCACCGTGACTGCCAACAAACATGATGATATCGATAGTAAATGTAGATGAACAGCTTTGCAAACTGTTTAACTAAGACACCTAGGGCCTGACACTTTGATCCCAGGAGATACATTGTATATACTTCAAGGATGGAAACATCAGACCTTCCAACTTTTTATGATGTTGAAAGTTATGTCCTGATATATTTACCGAGTACCACCAGCCTCATTTGCTGTGACACCTCGTTAGGCAGTTGCACCTGACAGCTCCATGTTCCCTGATCCTCAATCTGTGCTTCCTGTATCGTCAGCTTCCAGTGACCAACCACACTCGTATCCAGTAGATAGTTGGGATTGTTAACAGCCAGTTGCTTGTTGACGACGATTGCTTTGCCGTCATGATACAAGATGAGAAGAATGTCGTCTGGGTTGCCTGGGATGTTTCGCAGAGCACAGTCAAGCAGGACTGTGTTTCCCTCATTGACGGTTAGGTCTGTCAGTGGTTGAATGCTGATCTGTGCCACAACTACATGTATGGAGAACATTTTTAATGTAAAGATAATTGTTTACACACTTTTTCTAATGTGGAATAATTCCACAGGTTTTGTACCCGTATTAATGAGCTACACATAACCTCAAATTATTGATGGTCAATCATTGTAGACTAATTTGGCAAAACAAAGTGGCTATTTTCACAGAAGCCTTAACTGGCTTTTTCAACAGGTAGGCCTATAGTTACGCAAAATTGCCAACTAACATTGTAAATCTTTCTGTGGTTTTAAATTCCTGCAGCGAGTGAGTGCTTTGAGTGCTGAAGGTGCTGGGTTGGAACCTTGGAGAAAACTTTCTTCCTTAGTTTCCCAAAATATTTATTTTCTTACTTTCATTGTTTTCAATCAAATCCAACTTTTTTAATGTAGATTTGATTTTTCTTTCTAATTTATGACTCTGGAGGATTCTGGTCCAAGAACCATACAATTTGGTTGACAACTGAGGCATGCGAAACAATGGCAACTGTCGCCTTTCGTAAACACCATTCGAAAAGGGTAGGCCTATTCGCCTAAGGCCCCCAAAAATTACTTCTGCTTGCCGTTACCCGACCAAGGCTACATGTACCCCATTTTTACGGCAAGTTACACAAAAAATCCTGTTTTCTTTTTTGTCTTCACGAACTGACGAAACGCCTCTCAACAACCTTTTTACGTCAAAAATGCTTGTATTTATTAAAATTGTGTTTTGTCTTCTTACATTTGCTATTTTCAAAAAGAAACCACCGTTGGCGTTGCCTTACAAGTTCCCTTCATGCAATCACGATTAGCTCCCGCAGTGATAAAAACACAGGGTCTGCTCATACATTGTAAGTCCGACGCCTAATCATTAATAACATTGCTCATAGGTCTGTCTAGCCCCATAAATGTGGCCTATTTACTGGACTGCCTCCGTAAACATAGGCCACACATCCACATGTACAAAAACGTGTCGCACTTTGCCAAATTTTGATTTTCTCATTTAGGCTTAGTTTGTAGGTTTTTTTGCTTTAGAAGCATACTCACCCTCTTTATAGGCTAATCAGAAAGTGCTGCCTTTTTCAGATGGCTAATTTTTGTGAAATTTCATGTTGAAATTTTGATACGCAAACGTGTGCAAATGAATCTGGAAATTTCACAAAAAAATTGACATCTAACAAAGGCAGCACTTTCTGATTAGCCTATAAAGAGGGTGAGTATGCTTCTAAAGCAAAAAAAACCTACAAACTAAGCCTAAATGTGAAAATCAAAATTTGGCAAAGTGCGACACGTTTTTGTACATGTGGATGTGTGGCCTATGTTTACCACAGCGAAAAATACCCTACATGAATTGGCACGGAACGGCCGCGAGAGGGCGTCACAGCGATCTCATTATATGACGTCATCATACTGACCATAAAAGGCAGTTTTCATGAATGAAACTGTTGCGCATGCGCACATGCTTCACGTCTGTACCTCGAGTAGTTTCCACTTCGACAGAGTTCACGACGATCTTTCGAATGGTACCAAAATCGTATGAATTCGTGGTTTTCTTCGACTTTATATTCCATTTCTTTGGTGTCAACCTGAGGCGCAACAACTCGCGGATTCCTTGGTGGTATTTGAATTTTGGTAGGTCATATTTTTGTTGCGATTTTAGTGTGAAACCGCGCCACTGGCTGAAGGTGTTCGTTAATCATTGGAAAATCATATGCAACGTGTTTTGTGTGTGGGGGTTGAGTGTATTGAGTGCGCCACGTCAATATGCATGGCGACGACGACGTTGATGCGTACGTCGTACGTCAAATCGTGCGTGGCCGTTACACATATACGACCTGACCGCGATGCGTACAGTCTATCTTGGCGGCGCGGGCGCGGTACATGCACGTGCGGTTTGTTGAATGTAAATTGACATTCGTGCAAGCGATGAAAATGCAAGATTCAGATTTAATACTGATTCAGATTTGATAATCCAGGCGTGCGATTTGTCAGGATTTCAAGAATTTTTGTGTGGATTTTTCCTGATTTCAGGCATTTTTGACAGGATTTTTTCTTGTAAAAACTTTTGGAATTTTTTGGGGTCAGGATTTCCTGATTTAATTTAGGAACTTTTTGTCTTTTTTTTCTGATTTCCGGATTCTTTAAGATTTTTTTTAGGAATTTGGAATTCCTGAATATTGTTCACTTTTAAAAGTTTATTAAGGACAGATGAAGAGATGTAAATTAAGGGAGCCTTATACAAATTAAAACATTAATAGACCCTTAATTGCTTTTTAACCATCATCGGCGACCTGTACCTTCAAACCCTTTACCAATTATTTTATGGATTTTAAATTTTTTTCAGGTTGGCGGGAAGTGTCGTGCCCTTGTCGCGATGTCGTCTTTCGGTCCAGAGTTTCTACATACGTCACCTGAAATTGCAGCGCCATGAAGAGGTGGAAGCGTGCCTCCTGTGACAGCGACAACATTTAATACATTGCCGTTATTAATGAATAGTTTTCCCCACCCAATTTTAACAATAAAATATTTTAATATCGTGCGACATGAAGTTTTTATTTCAAACTGTCTTTATCGCTCCCCATTTTGACGGTAGCATAACAATTCAAAGAGAAGAGCTTACATGACTACACAAACTTATACAAGTAATTCAAAACTTACCGTTATACGAGAGAAAACTAAGCTTCTTGGAGGCTGTGCAATGGGTTAAGCCGTATCTTAATTAGGTTTGAACCTGCCATTGTTTCCCTTAATCCTGCTGAGCTGAGTGGGGTGTGAAGGGGGCTGTTTATTGAGGAGGGAAGTCACATTGCTGTTTACGTGTTGTACATGTAGGTTAAATTTCAGTCTTAATTATTCAGGTACCGGTCGAAACCACAAGAACAATGCTATACACATAGAAAACGGGTTGAATGTTTATTGAAAAAAGCTAAAATTTACAATTACAATAATGCACTTGGTAAAAATAAAGCCCTGGGAATGGACAGCAAGGAAAGCACTATTGTGAAAAGAGTTTATAAACAATCTTTAGATTTAAATGTATAACTCGAGTGATTGGGTCAAGAGATCTTCCACTATTTTTCCAAGTGAATTGTATACTAACCAAAAACAACCAAGTTGTAATACACAAAATATCAGGTATTACGAACATGCGTATAATAAAATGAACATAGGCCAAACTTTTCTATTAAAAACGAGTCTCTGATGTCTCTGAATTTGTATCCCGAGTCATTTCTTTGTATATTTTAGACAACTAAGAGTTAGAAAATATAGTTTACAAAATGCTCCTATTTTAACCAGAATTTCCTGGGATGAAAGGAGGACTTCCCTTACTTAAAATACTTCAATTTGCGACTATCAACACGCCTTGGAAATGGCAATTGTTTGAGTAAAATCCGTAATCTATTTCGTGATAAACTTGCGGGAAGTCAGCAGGTCAGCCCGCTCGACAGTGCGAAGTTCTCCGCGGCTCGGAATGCACCGGCCGTACGTGCCTGCACAGGCCGTGCGTGCGTGCGTAAACGAATCCCTGACATGTGGTTTCTGTGACGTCACGGGCCCGGCCGGGCACGTCCACCAATGAGCGCCGCGCTTGTCGCCCACGCCCCCATTCCCATCCGTGTTACACGGCCAATGGGGAATTTTTCGCTGTGTTTACGTAGGCAGTCCAGTAAAAAGGCCACATTTATGGGGCTAAGGTCTGTCACCTATTTAGTCCGACAAAATCGCATCCCCAACCAAATATTGCATTACATGTGTACTTTGTGTAAAGCTAACATTTACGTCCTGTTTTCTCCTTCCAAAACGCTGACACACCCTTCTCTTTTTTTCACGAAATGCATGCAATTACTGCAATGCAGTAGTTTAAAACGTTAAACTCTGTTTTCAATTCCAAAGTCCAGTAACGACTTACCACATGATGAGAGTACGGACAAACATAAAATAAACTGTATTCCTCTCAAATCCATCATCTTAACGTAATTAACTGAAGAATTCCACACAAAATGAATGTCTGCACATAAACGGTTGACATCAGCGAAAATGATCAAAACAATTATGACGTCATGCGTGTTCGGGGTGACCGTAAAGTAATGGCAAAATTCTGCTAGATGCACTTCAAAAATATGCTAGATTTAATTTTTAAAAATCTGCTAAATCACCTATTATTACACGAAACACATTAAAACACTTATACCGATGTTATCAAATTTCCTTAAATAAAACAAAAATCATAAAATGTCCTTTACAAAAATTAATTAAAGGAAAAAAAATTAAAATTGTGCCCGGGTCTAGCCTGGCTAATTGCAATGGCCTAAAGTACCGTACTGTGTAAAAAAAAATTACGCCAGGGAAACTCAAATTGAAGCTCTTTCAAAACTAATCAGCTATTTTTTCAAAACTGCCATATTTTTCTGTCAGATCACCAATTTCACAGAATTCTGCAAAAAAAATATGCTTAAAAATAATAAAAAATCATCCTGCTAAATCTTCTGTCAAACTCCTTTTTTACAGAAAAGAATCTGTCAAATTTAGCAAAAGTTCGGCTAAAACGGTCATCCTGTACGTCACACAAAGCATGACATTTTCAAAAACGCGGCTGTGTTCAGCCTGTGGCTTTATGTATCCAGCGCATAGAGCTGTGTAATAAAGCTATGCTCCAGCGCCACTTTATTGGTTGTGTACTACAGAGTCTATGGAGAGTCAAGTGCATTTTTGAAAGTATTTTTAAATTTGTGAAAAAAAATTGAATTGTTTCAAAAGTTTTCAATTGTCAAATAATCAACCTTTTTCTGAATTATGAAGTGCCTCGACATCCTCTGCTTCTTGAAAGACAATACGATCATTATGAAGAAGTTCAATGCCATGAATTCAAATAATTTCCTCTATCTTCTTAAGAGCATGGCCACTATTCTGTTGATTCCTTCAACAATGTATGCAACTTTATTAGCAAAAAACACATATAAGAAGCGTAAAGCATATTACATGGTTATTTTAACGACGACCTTTCAGCACTCATCGATCGATCAGCATGGATTAAATTGGGCGCCTCCTAATGTAGCATCCAGCCCCTCCCCCCCCCCCCTCCCCCAGGATGAGAACCCTGGCTACGCTGCTGATTGGCAGACCTTATGGGCCACATTGGACCGTTGAGAATTTGAACAAACTGCAGGTTTTGTACCCTTACAGAAATCTGCCCTGTAGTTCTCATGGGAAATTTCCCCATGGGACCCCATGGGAATTACCTGGTTTAATTGGACATACACCATGTAGCATAGGATTTTTCCCATGTGAGTTTTCCCATTGGCTTTTTTTCCCTTGGGAAATTTTATATGTTTTCTTTCCCCATGTATGGTTTCCTATGATTTCTAAAAAAAAATCCAAATTACTCCAGGGTATTTTTCAATAACAACTTTCTCGATACATTTTAACCTTACATAACGGTGCTATTCACCGAACATGGCACCAAGCAGTTCTTGCACCACTGCCTCAGCGGCGTATCCAGCAGGGGCGGGGGGGGGGGGGGCACTCCCCCCGGCGGATTTGTCGACATTTTTTTGTCAGCAATGATTTTAACAAATGTTTAAAGATTTCTTCAGACATCAATCCTATCAAAGAAAACCCGCTCAACCACCATTAGAATGCGCCGTAAAAATGTCCATATAATATGTTGTATGCATAATAAATGTCAGTTGTGAAGAGCACCTTCATTTGGAAGATGAGTACCAGCCCCCCCCCCCCCCCCCCAGCCCCCCCTTTGATTTTACGGAGGGCAAGTGACCGGAGAAAAAGCATGTCTACATTTCGGCGCGGATGTACGGTTGCCCCCCCCCCTCCCGCCCGACATCAAAATCTGGATACGCTGCTGCACTACCTGCTCTCTCACCCCTGGTATTGGATCATTTGCATGTTTAAAATCGTGTACATGTAAATTAGGAATACTAGTCTGGTGCCGTGGCTGTGCTCTTAATCAGTGTTTGTTTTCATATACGGTGTCTGGGTAAAAACATAATTAATTCGTTGCGCGCGCGGCGTAGGATCCAAAAACACGATTTCTTTTTCAACGTTAAAATGTTAAATCTTATCCAGCCAAAATGCAGTTTCGCGTTACATATTATCATATTAAGCAAAATGGGAAAGGGGGATTGTTTTAGAGGTGTAGTGGACATAAAACTGAATTCACAGCTGAACGTTAAAATCCGTACCACACATTGAAAATAAAACAATTATCCGATATAAATGAATTACTTGTTTTTGCTGTATCGAATCAGCACGGGAAGCAAGTTTCCCACCCTTGGGCTACTACTGGAAACAAAAAACGTTGAAAATAAAGTAACCCCTATGGACTTCGCTCGTACCCATCTCCCACCCTCCGGGCTAATCGCTTGTGAAGGAAGCATATGCAAGCAAAGCATTGTGGGAAGCGTACTGCCTCAAATATAGGAAATAATTCCGACCAATGTCTTCACAAAATCTACAGATGCAGTGGGAAATGCCTTACCCACTAATCGTTGAATATCACTGGCCAATTCTGGCAGTGTTTCACCTTTTCGACTCACCGTATAACCTTTCAGCTAAACAAAAAAGTTCAGCTTGTCCCGGCTCTATAAACTCTTCTTAACTGCACAGCTCTTCTCTTGTGGTATGTCAGTGTACTGTACAGTTGTTATGCAGGCCCTTTTAACTTAACAATAAAATTTGCTTTTTTTTTGTATCTCAGTCCAAGAACTGAATTTACTACTCATATCAAAATGACTCAAGCAATCATCAGTTTCCCTGTATAACGATAGGTTTCTTACACACATTTTCTGATATATCTAACTTTATCAACACCCATAACCAAATTTGTTACATGTATTACGTCATCTAGGCATCTAGCTTCTCGTCCAACAAGTCATAATTTCGATCAATTCGATCCAAAACAATATTATAATATGCTGCCATTTTTAAATAACTTCCAAATCAAACAAGACATCAAAACAACAGATCCATAAAATGTGATTAGTCAGGGTCCTGGCCAAGGGCGGATCAAGAACACAATTTTTTTGGGGGGGGGCCCAAAAAAATTTTGGTCCCCCAAAAAAGTGGGTCAAAAAAAATACGGCGTGGGGTTCGGGGCCCGCTTAAGGGCCCCGAAAAATTTTTGGATTCTAGATGCTCTGTGGTGCGATCTGAGGCAATTTCTGACCACTTTAACCAATGTTTTTTTGAGGAAAAGATGGTGGTGTACTCATTGCCTGCCTTTATTGCGATGTCACATAAAAAAAAAAAAAATTGGTTTCGTTTTTTTTTGGGGGGGGGGGCATGGCCCCCTTTGGCCCCCCCCCCCGGATCCGCCCTTGGCCCTGGCAAGGTCTCCTAAAGCTGTAACGGAGCCCTATATTGGGCGACCAAATACATTGAAACTGGAAAGCCAAAATATGATTCCAAATAATGTATTAATGACAACAAATTAATAGCAGTCGGAGGGGAGCTAAATGAGATAGCTATATGAAACTGACATGTTTACCAATTAATAGCCACAGCAGTCCAAGCCTATCTACCGGTACTCACTGACCAAATAAAATTACCAAACGACATCATGCACAGCCAACGCCCAGTCTAAAAGTCCACCACATGACGAAGGCACCCAGGTTTTTTTTTTTTTTACAGTACAAAGAAATTCGTAGAAAAATTCATATGTCATAAGCAATTGTGTTTGTGTATTGAAAGTTCAACTTTTGGCTAGCAAACTTTATCATTGCATCGATTGCACCACATGAAAAGGAAACAAATACGGGTGTGTTTTACTTCAAACAAAAATCAACATGGCACGGATTTCATCACGGGGCTGCGGCCACTGATCCCGGATCCAAAAACTGTCCGCTTACACTCTCGCCGGACACACAATACGTGCAGTGCGTGCCTGTTTGACTCTGGTCTTGTTTGTGATTATATCAGCTGATTTCTACCTGAAAGATTTCAGGAACTTTCCCTCCACACAATTGCAACATATAATTTTGCACCACACACCATGACCAAAAAAGAAACGCCTGTAGTTCGTGGAAATTTGTAAAAAAAAAAAAAAAAGCAGTATGATGAAAGATAATCAGTGTTTTCGATTTGTCATGCGTATTTTGTGGGACTGTTATAGTTTGGGAAGGTAACTCAGCCACTTTTGATATGTTTGCACTTTATCTGCCAATCCTGCCAGCATACTAGACTTGATACCAAGTCGGTAATTGTTTTACGTAAGGTTATCCTACTGGCTCCACGCACACACACTATCGCTGCAATGCGCGTAGTCTGGTTCCCAGACCAAATGATGCTGACTATTTCTGATCAATTACCCACGTTTTCAATTGTGTACACAACATATGGGAGTATTTTGAATCGCTACACTGCAAAAAAAATTGTTCAGCAATCTAACACTTTTCTAAACACTTTCTTGCTATCAGTTCATAAACATGTTCAAATACTAAACATGTTTTGAGTAAGGATGGATGTACCGTTTAGCAATTGAACATTGATGTTTAGTAGGAATCGACCACATAATGTTTAGCTTCTTGATAGCAAGATATAATGGCTCAAGACAGTTTTAAGAATGTAGCGAATTCTATGCGAACACCCTGATTGGTTCAGATTCTAGAGTGTAGTCTGGGCGGCACGGAAGATCATTCTCATTACATCGAGGGTTTGTAATTTGTATTGTGTAAGAATACACAATTTATTATCGGGCATACACAACTCAAATAAATCAGGTATATCACAATGATACTTTTATTTGTATGCACAATTGACCAAGCTGAGTGTATTGGTGATTGAAACCTCGTCAGATTTGCAAACATGTCCCTGACGTATTTAGAAGAACTCCCCATGTAACGGAATGAATGAGTCCTCATTTGCATAGCGGTGCGCGATTGGATCTCACCGCAAAAAATGCGCTGCTTATGTATTGCGCTGCTTGCATATATGAATAACGGTACCAGGGTGACCTTAACTTGACAACATTCTGCTAAATGCAATTCAAAACTCTACTAGATTTAACAAAAATCTGCTAAATCACCTATTATTACACGAACTACATTATAAAACA